ACTCAAGGATTTAACAAACCCTAGAAATCAAGAACTGACATATCAAGAAACCAGGGTATTCGGGTCAGCTTGCACGCACCTTAACTAATCTTTGGAGTCCATTGAACACCTTACAATCCCAAAGGACCAAGTAAGTTATAATGTGGTAAATGACCTTAAGGTTCAAACCTAGGAAGGAACTCAATGAAGTGAGCAAACTTCATTAACTATTAGGCCAACCCCTTGGGGTTAAAGTAGATAGTTTTGTGTTATTTTTAGTAGACTTTCTATCAATTATGGCAATTTGGTGATGAGATTGTACACCTCTTCATCAACTTCTAACTTCTTCTTCAACTTCTCTTCTGACCACTTCGTAGCATCCTTTTCTAGAGCAATAGCAACTTTGTTGTGTGAAAGCAATGCTTTCATCATCTTTTCCAACTATTGAAATCGATTTTCCCATCATACTGGGAAATCTCATGCGTGTAGTACTCATTGTTTGTTTTTGGTAAGAATACTAGGAATAACCTAATAAACCCTAGAAACCAAAGAATGACTTCTAATTTTCAACAAATTAATAATATGACTCAAGGATTTAACAAACCCTAGAAATCAAGAACTGACATATCAAGAAACCCTAGAACCCGAATACGATCAACAAGACAACTCAAGCTCTGACACCACTATTATGATTTGAGACCTATTATCGAACTAATTCTACCAATCAAACCAACCAAAAACACACACATATGAAATTAACAAGACACAAAGATTTTACCATGGTTCATCTATCCAAGATTGGATAAACTACATCCACATTCAGCTCCAGAATAGAGAGGCTCACTGCACTAATCAATCAAGCTTTTACAAATTACAAGAATATCACATCAATCGCTCTTTTATCACTAACCACCCAAATGCATCAAAGTAATTTCTATTCTAAGAGAAACCTATACTAGACTCTCTAACCTTGAAGGAAACTCAAACCTCACTGAATGATTCAACTGATCACTCAAAGAAATTACACTATTTGAGCCAAATGTGAAAAACCTTAGGAGAGCAGATTGTTGACAAAACAAAAAGACAGTTCGTATTTTCAATCTGGAGATTCTGGTGTTTTTATATTGTTGACCAAGTGACTCAATGACAACCATCGGATCAGATGAGGAAGCAACGCTCAGGATTTGATCAGGCAAGAAACCAAAACGACAGTGTTTTTGTGCTTCATATTTAACAATTTCATATAAACACAAACTGTATCTTTTTTTTTCTTTCAGAAATCCTAATCCTGCATGGGAACGGAAATGTATATATAAATTAAAGATTTCTCTCATTTTTTATCGTTTCCTTTTTTGTTCTGGTGCCAAAAAAATAAATAAATAAATATATTGGCTTCTGTCATTTCTTCTTTTAGCAATCTTGCTCAGCCAAAAGGCTTCTCCTTATCATCAAGAGTTAATTTAGATTCAAGTATCCGGGCGGCAATGATCAAGAATAGGTTCGCTGAAACGATTCTGAGGGCTCAAGACAAGATGATTCAAAGTAATTCAGCGGAGGAAAAAGGAAGAAGGGTGAGGTACTTAGAAGCTGGAATTAGAGATGCGCAGACGAAGTTGGAAGAGCAAAGGCGAAAAGAGCAGAGGAAGTTGAAAGAACGGGACCTTGCTCGACAAGCAATGGCGAAGATTGTACAATGGTGGAGTGGAATGATGCCCTGGAATAGGCACATGAATTTGACAAGTTAATTGGTTCCAAGTTGACAGGCTAATTGGTGGTAACAAGATTAGGGAATTGTAGATGGAGAAAATTGTATTTGTAGAGTGGAGTCATATAAATATGAATTGTAAAGTTCATTTTCTTTTTTCTTTTAGTTGATCCCCTTATTTCATACATAGATTGAGAAAACCACTATAGATGGAACGAATATGTTTCTGTTTAGCCTTTATAAGGTAAATATATGGTAACTATCAGGGACGTAACCAAAATTTTTAGTGAGTTAGTTCAAAACATTTAAGTTGATAAATAGTATAGAATATTCACTTTTCTTGGATTTTATCTAAATAACCAAACCTCTGTGTTATCAACACAAAAACGAGAACGAGAAACAATGCCATTATATGATCAATCATAGTAAATTTTAAAATTAAATTTAGTAAACTTTATGAAATTATGCATGCGGTTGGAAATTTCTTAAAATTTGCATATTTCTATGAGAAAGTCGTTAGATTCTTCATTTTCATCTTATATGACCCATTTGCCAAAACAAAAAATTTAGGTCCCAAAAAGAATTATCAAAAATTAAGAGATAAATTAGGGTCATATATCAATATTTATAATATCTAAACCAAATACTATATAATAAAATTTCTTGTAGTTTTTTATTACAAAAACTTTATATTCAAATTATTTACGTAAAAATAAATGTTGGTAATCAAACAGCTGAAAAATTAGGCTCACGGGTTAGATTTTCCAAGCGACTATCTTTCTTTTCTTGGGCTTTTTTAATAACCCCGGAGTGATATGCAACTCTATACAGCCCCATGATCTTTGGAAAGCGTTAAATATCCCCCTATGGTTGTTAAGACTTAAGATTTGACAAATAATCAGTATTGGAAATTACAAAAATCTCCCCAAGACTGTTCAATTTAAGTAAAAAGAGGAAATTCTTATGTGATCACCATGATTAATGTACATAACTAAAAGTAGGTAGTTTTTTTTTTTTTTTTTTTTTTCTAGTAACTAGGGTGTTTGGGTCAGCTTGCGAGTACCTCAACCAATCTCCGAAATCTATTGAACACCTTACAAGCTCAAAGGATCAAGTAAGCCATAATATGGTAAATGACATCAAGGTTCAAACCTAGGAAGAAACTCAATGAAATGAACAAACTTCATTAACTGCCCGGCTAACCCCTTGGGGTTAAAGTAGATAGTTTTGTGTTATTTTTAGTAGAGTTTCTATCAATTTATTTTGCATAGCAAAAGGCTTTAAATTCATAAATGAAGCGAAAGGTAGAGTAGATGAACACTATTCAGGACCTCAACTACTATCCTTTAATCTCCCAACAACCCTCTCTAATTTGCAACAAAAGGCTTTAATATAATTAAGGGTGGGGTTGAGATTTTAATTTAATAATTAAGACTTACCCATAAATATAGTTAATAGGGAAATTAATGTGGTACCAGGTATGGAGATAACAGGTTGTAATAAATATAGAAAATATTATATAAAAATGGTTCTCTTAAACATATCCCACTTTTATATAAGCAATTTTAACACTCTGTCAAATTTAAGTTATATAGTTTTTAATTAATCTCATAATGTTAGTGACCTCAAAATCTTATAATAATTCTTTTAATACAATTAATTTTCTATAATGCAAACAAATAAAAACTAACCCTAAGGGTGCGTTTGGTTGGGGGTTATATAAGATTACTGAGGTAATGTCATGTTATATTATTTAATTACTATGTTTGATTGTCAAGTAATATAAGATTCTAATAATCTTTCAATACCTATAGTAGTTACTATTGATAATATTGGAAGTAATCTGATTACCTCAATTTTCTTAGGTATTGTAAGATTATTTGGTTTCTTATTTTTGTTACAATTTTCTCTCTTATTAATAAAATTTTTGGATAATAATGCCCTTGTTTAATTAAGTTTTTGGACAATAATGTCTTTATATTTAAAATAAATTGTAGACCACCACCACCACCCAGCCACCACCACTAGCAGTTGGCCAACCACCGCCAGCCGTTGCCACTGGAAGCTGTCGGAAGTCGCCGATATGGTTGTAGATCTGGCCATTAATAACCAGATCCATGATGGCCAGATTTACGGCCATCTGGCCGTTTTTGAGCCATCAATATGGTCGGAAATGACATATTGGCAACTCCCAAAGACTCCTAACAACTTCTGACGACTCCAAGAGGCAGCCGACGGTGGTGGTTGGCGGCCGGCAGTGGCTTAGGGTGGGTGGAGGTGATTTTGTTACAAATTAAAGTTTTATATAAGTCAGGGTGTTTTAGCTAAATCTGAAATGTTGGGGGTTAAAATGAATTATTCAAAAATTAATAATAAAAACAATACTATATTAATATTTAAAAATAAGGACAATTTAGTAATTTAAATAACATATCCACCAATTTATTCCAATTAACCAAACACATTTCCTTAAAGATTCACAGTGATCTTCAAGGTAATCTAACTTTCTATTAATATAACATTCTCAGTAATTCAACATTTTCTGAACCAAACGCACCCTAAGGGGTTGACTTGATGGTTAACAAGGTTTGCTCCCTTCATTAACTTCTTGGATTTAAACCACATTGGGGCAACCTACCACAATTATGGTTTATCGGAAACATTAAGCTTGTAGAGTGTTCAGTGGGCTCTGGAAATTAGTTGAGATGCGCGCAAGCTGGCCCGGACATCTCAGTTATCAAAAAATAAAAATAAAAATAAGGGAATGTTACTCTAGCTTCATTATCTTATTTAGAATCATTGTATTATACTTTCTGTAACTGTCCTGAGTAAATATAGTCTGTTTTACATTTAATCTACACAAATGTACTTTTAAACTTCACCCAAACGTTAATTGTTTTTGTTAGTGATATGAGATGTGACACTTACTAATTTCCGTAGATGGTTATTGAACTTATGAGTTACCAAAACAAACCCCTTTTTTTTTAGATCATTTTGTAAAAAGAAAAAAGTTCATTTAAGACTTTACCTACTCAATTCAATGTTTCAATTCAACAACTATAATGGATATGCTTAATTACAAAGACATGAGTCAACAAAATGATGCTGTGTTCACAACATTAAAGTTCTTTAATGCCATTAAAAGGAAAAGTTGTTGAACAGAAATATCAGAAAAAAATCTCAGCTTCATAAACTCTTTTAGAATTAGTGGCTAATTATAAAATAATTAAAACAAGGCTCAAACACGAGCTTTACGTAGCATGATGTATCTTGTTGACCTGCGCAACTTTTTGCAAGTCATTGAAGCCCTTTTTTTCCAAGCAGGTTTGGTTTGGCTTCCTGCTTGTATAAATATGATTGGCTTAGCGTAAACTCTTTGCCATTCTTTTCATACTAATAAGCAACTTTTGAAAAAACAAAAATTCTGGGGCTGGTGAATGAATTATTATGTCATTGATTTGGGATTAAGCAGAAATATCAGCTTCTGCAAGTAGAAATCACTTGTTCTTCATCAGTTTCTTTCAGGTTTTTCCTCTTTCTCTCTCACACACAAATCAATATACTGGTTTCATGTAAAAACACTTTTTGTATTTACTTCTGATGCTTGAAAGCAAAATATATTTTTCATATCTTGATTTTGGTGAAGACCCTTTTGGCATTTTTAATTAATTGAGTCAATTGTGAAAGCAAATAATGATGTCCCACAAAGAATACTGTAAATATGCCTTTCTTTTTGGATTGCTCGTTTGTCTATTTTCAGTAATATGAATCGAAATCCCAAGTCAAATAAACATAAATATATGTTTTAATGTAACTGTGACATAAAATAAATATATGAGTTGTGCTTCTTGTATGTGCTCTTGTTCTGTAGTGCTTGAACTATCTCATCATTATTAAATGTTAATAGTGGAAGCATTACAGTTCTAGTTCGATTGAGTTTTTATTTGATCAAAAAACCATTTCTGCTTTGAAGGGTCATAATTTTTTTATCCAAATTTTTTTTTAGAAATGATTCGGGGAATTATAGTCGTCTTGTTGATCGGGTTTCTGGCGTGGGCATATCATGCTACCGTTCCTCCACCTCCAAAAATCTGTGGCTCTCCCGGCGGCCCTGCCATTACAGGACCTAGAATAAAGCTGAGAGATGGAAGGCATTTGGCTTACAAGGAGCATGGCTTGCCAAAACATTTGGCCAAACATAAGATTATCTTTTTCCACGGTTTTGGCTCTTGCAGACATGATGTAGTCATTTCACAGAACCTCTCTCAAGTACTTCAACTCTTTACCTAATTTATTATTATGATTCTGAAATTTTCATTTGTTCCAAGTCCAGAATGTAGTGAGTTAACTTTGATGATGTTGTGTATTTTTCATTTCAGGAAATTGTTGAGGAACTTGGGATATACATTGTGTCGTTCGACAGAGCAGGATATGGCGAGAGTGATCCGAATCCGAAGAGAACCATAAAGAGTTTGGCGATGGATACAGAAGAGCTTGCTGATCAGTTAGGACTTGGATCCAAGTTTTATGTTGTTGGGTATTCTATGGGAGGTCAAACAGTTTGGAGCTGCCTCAAGTTCATCCCCCATAGGTAACAATAACACATCTAGATTTCTCAGATATAATTTACTACGAAATGAAACTCTTCGACATCAAATGGCATGGTTAGTAAGCGTGTTTGAAACATCGGATGAGGACAAATACGAATGATTCAATGTACTAGAGTCTAGAATTTCCCATACAATTGGGTAAAGTCCGCAGTTAATTACATGGTATTAGAGTAGACGAAAATTCTCTAGTCATGACGTCCTAACATTAATTTTATCAAGATCATGCTTAAATATCATTGGGTTCCTCTGTAATATTAATACAATCCCCTAATAATAAGTCCACCACTGTTTAAACATTATCTTGATATTAACGTCCTGACTAGATAATTATTCATAGAGTAGATATTTGATATTCAAATCTGTCATCGTATTTGAATCTAAATTGTTTAGAATTGGTAGCTGATCTTTCAAGCTGGATTTTTGGAGTGTTCACAGGCTAGCTGGAGCAACACTGATTGCTCCAGTTATCAACTACTGGTGGCCTGGATTTCCCAGAAACTTATCGACCGAAGCTTACAACCTACAGTTACCACAGGATCAATGGGCTCTTCGTGTCACCCACTACGCTCCATGGCTGACCTACTGGTGGAACACACACAAATTATTTCCTGGATCTGCTGTTGCAGCAAGTCATCCTGAAATCTTCTCTCCTCAAGATATACAACTTTTCTCTAAGCTTGCAGGGAGACAAACACACAAGGTACTCCTAATTTACCCTCTATTCATTCATAAAATTTCTTTTACTTAAGGCTCTGTTTTTCCTATTTTATGCAGTCACAAGTGCTTCAGCAAGGAGCGTTCGAGTCCAACCATCGTGACATGATGATAGGATTCGGGAGCTGGGAATTTGATCCAATGGATCTCCAAAACCCTTTTCCTGATGGTGAAGGCTCTGTTCATATATGGCAGGGTGATGAAGATAGGCTTGTGCCAGTAATCCTGCAACGCTACATAGCAAAAAGACTTCCATGGATTCAATACCACGAGTTACAGGGTGGTGGACACTTGTTTCCACTTCTAGACGGGATGAGTGAATCTATCTTAAAGGCTCTCTTACTTCATAAAGAAGTAACCTCAGTTTGATTTAACTAGCACGGACACTTTGTTCATCAATGTCATTTACTTACAAAACTATTCCGGACTTATCTAAGTCTGCACTCATGACACTTGCTTTCTAGAAAGCACAAAGCAATGAATTGATGTTTTTTTCGCATCCCGTGAACTCAACATTTGGTTTCTATATAAATTATTTCCTATTGAGCTATAATTTATGTTAGCAAACGGCTGATTTTATGAGTGATTATTAATCCGTATGATATCTAACAACCTAAACTGTTATTGTACTAACGGAACAGACCTCCTCCAAGAAATATAGTAACACTAGACAACAGAGAATTTAGCATTCCATGATCAAGTCAAAGAAAATTCAATTTTGTAAGTTGTTAAGTTACAGAGAATATGTATGCAAATCAAAATTACGGAGTACTTACAGTCAGAATTTTGGTGGGCATAAAAATCACGAGACATTTAAATTACAGAGGTTATTGATTATCGGTCATTCAATTGACAATTGCTTGATCTTCAGTAATTATCAATATTCAACCATTTGATTAAAGATTATTGAAAATCATATTTGCCTTTAATCCTTCAGCCATTAAGTTTCAGCTAGGATATATCAGCAATCATTCACCAGCAGCATTTGATCGACTCAAATCCAGCCTTACACATAATAAGATATTTATTTGAATTGAATTATAAATAAGTCTCAATACAAGGTACTAGGATGAAGATTGTCGGTGTCAATCCAAACTTATAAATTAACAAAAAATACAAGCAAATAATCTTGATAAACAATTAAACATATATTGACATGCACAAAAGAATGGGCAGATGTGGATAAAATAGCAAGTGAACTGACCAGATAACTCTAGCAGATTTAAGCTTTTTGCAGTTATAATTTACTTGCAATTCCACGGACAATCAACATGTTCTTCAAAGAAAGCTGCTCATATCAAAGTATTGTGGTCTGTGTCCCCGTTGTTCAAGCTACCTTGAAATTGTTGGATGAGAGACCTTTCCGAGGCCAGAAGTTGACAAGAATAGAGTCCATGATGATCTACATTGTGTTTCAAAAGTCAGAAACAGTAAAGTTTCAAAAAATGGAAGGATGAGAAAAATAATGAATTGACCTGAATTAAATGCGCAGCAACACAGGGAAGAACCAGTAAACCAGATTCTCCAAATGCACCACCAAGCTGCTCCACAACTGCCACCATCACAGGCAGAGTTTTCTACAAAAGAATGTGAGCAATATAAAGCAAGGTCAATTCAGAACAAAACAGCAGCAGAAGAACTATTTTTATTAGATTACAGGAGGAAAGACGATTCAAAAAACCAAGTTTCCACTTTTCCGCTTATTTTCCAGTGGAGATATAAAGTACTAAAATAAAGTTATAAATTCCATGTTCTTATCTCAAACTTTGTATCCAAAGTGATGTGTCATAATTTACTGGTAACATGTGAAGTATATGGTTGTGAAAATGATGTGTATCTATAAACTAAAGCCACATTACTTAGAACACAAAAGTTGGTATAGAAACTTGAGATGTATAGCATAAGTCAAAGTAATATCTCTTCAAGGAGAAAGAATTATGCAAATTTGTGTATTATGATAGTATTGAAGAGAATTAATATTCCGTTCAAGGGACCTGGCTTGCAACAAGAACAACTGCACTGGCATTCTCTTTCTTGGCAAAGACTGATTGACTGCCACCAGAGACAGCTGAGAGGCTCCTTACGGCAATAGCATTAAAAGCTAATAGGATGAGATGTAGAAGTCTGCAATACAAGGAAATTCCTTTTGTTAGTTGATATTAATCTTTTGAAGTTCAAGAAGGATAACAGTGCAACCAAATTGCGAGTGCATGGCCAAAATACCCCAACCGACCCCCGCACCAAGAAAAAAAATAAATAAATAATCTGATATAAAAATGTTTAGAAGAAACCATATCAAGGTTTTATCAAACTATTCAACCTCAGCTTAATAAACATTCAATATCAAATATCAAATCCTGAGAGAGATGGAATATGTCACATGAACAAGCACATTCAGAAAATGACACCTACATCAATTCTACGCATGAACAACCTGTAATCGGGATAATATCATAATAACAAAATCGTTACAGTTGCTACAACGTTTATTCCTTAAATGGAGTGCACAACAGTTTTTTCACTTTTATGGTAGCTTGATATTACCATTGAACTGGAATATTAGAAACAAAATATTTATAAATATCAAATAATCATACAAATGCACCAAAGAGTACACGGGCATTAACGCTGAAGAACATACATTCCCATTCCAATAGCCACAAGAAAAACTGTGGGCTTAACCATTAACAGCAATGACCTTGACCTGCTCACTTGTATCCAAGGCACCTGAAAGACCACCATGGTTTTAGAGATTAATGTGATTTCCAACCAAACAGCGAAAAAAATCTACCCTATTTATGACATAACATTCATATTTGCTTCTTCAGAAGCGGTTCTGAAGATTAGATGCTATTTCCAAGATATATTCCAATTTTGAGTTTTACGGGGTTTCACATGCTCAATTGTAATAAGAAAGTATTAACAGAAAATTCATGGAAAACGTTTACATGGAAAAGAAACATTGTGAAGATCAATGCAATATGTAAAACAAGTGTAGGCAAAGATCACACAATGATGCAAACCACAAAAAACACAAGAACAACGAAGAGAATTTCAGATAATCCTTTTTTTTGATACACCACACTTTTTTGTCTCAGCTGGTGGCATGCAATAAAATTTAGCTCCAAATTTCCCAAAATAACAGTGCCATTGAAGTTTCTTCTTATTACATATACCATTTGTGACTCAAAAATGTTCTTAGCACCTTTCAACTAGCTCATGCATAATATTTTCTTTCCTATCCATTTTCTTCAAATAAAAAACTATAGTACCATATCCAGTTGAGATTTTTTACTAGTTAAACCCAGAACCTAGTCCATCTGCAAGGATTCTATTTGTACAACCACCAAAGAACATGTGCTAGCCATTGAAGAGCCATCCAGCTGACATAACTTAAGAAAGAGAAGAACAAAAACACTAATGAATGCATGAAGGTCTCAAAAATATAAAGAAAACCCTCTTTCTTCAAGTCATACAAGTGCAAGCAAACATATTTTCAGTGTTTTCAAGGAGATAGAAGCAGTGAAGTTTTGTTGGAATGATAATTCAGGTTAAGCTTAGATACCATAATAATATAGACCAAAGATTCTTATAAAACCATTTAGATCATGCCAAAAATCTACAGATCCGAACATTGCAAAAAGGGATTGTAAAACCAAATCTCTGTCTCATGAACACAAAATCTAGAATGACAAACAGTGCCATTATATTATAATTATGGTACATTTTGAAATTGAACTAGTAAATTATATGAAATTATGCATAATTTAAAATTAAAAAATTCAAATCAAGGTAAAAGCCTAACCAAACTGAGGAAGATCGCACTTATATTTGAAAAAAGTTTACGGTTTTGATCAACAAATTCTGCCAAACCTGCAACGAACATATACTAATTGGATAAATGCCATAAATTATTACGTGATTATTGGAGGAATGCTTTTAAAGAGGTAGAGTACTTGCAAATGGATCACACATTTCTTCATTATCTTCATGTTAAGAAGCTCTGAGCTTGCCTTTTTAGGAGAAAGCGGTTGCAAATTGCTTAAATTTAGCATTCTTCTATGAGAATGTTATTAAAGTGTGGGCAGATTAGGATGGGAGATAAAAAAAGGTGGTTTCAAATTTCTTCATTTTCCCTATTCTTGATTTTCAGCAGAGAGTAGGCTTCTTTTCCTGCTTTTGGAATTCTTAAATGAATCTAGTTCGCTATGCTCATAGAAACCTTTGGCCTTCTATTCATATCAAATCCATTTTAAATTTTAATGGGAACTGCACATTTAATGATGACTAATAATGAGATGCTATATTTACAGGCATTAAAGATGCCGTTTAAAATAGACACCACCTTATTGTAATACAAAAAATTAGATTGATTCTAAATGTTAAGAAATTATTTCCAGGTTATCCATGCCTTTGTTTATGAAACTAAAACATGATGTTAAAAAACAAGAAAGAAAGACCTAACATTATGTGCTAGTTTTTAACAAACAAGTTCCTTGGTAAAAGTCTTACAATAGGAACTTCCTTCTTTGTTTCTTACTATTTTAATTCATTTTGTGGTCGAGGAATCGCCAATAACACCTTGCTTACTTTGCTATAACAGTTTTACCTATTAGTTACTTTGAGAACATTTATGCTTAAGGTCTATCTGTCTACTCACATCAGATGTATCAAAAATATTTTTGAAAAGAAAGTGATAGGGGAACGGGAGAGAGACACTCACCTCTGAAGGATTCTCGAAAGACCTGTAGATAAAGGCATGAATTACTATTTGCAACAACAAAACCTTGTGTACACATATATGGTATAGCATATTAATCTTTTTATATTATTCCATAGCATTAGTACTTTTTTTATCAAGAAGTATCACAAAATGAAAAAACTCTTCTGCACTCCCATTTTGAACAAACTGAAGTGTGCAAAACATACTGTAGCCCTCCTAGAATGTATCTAGGCATTGTCATGCACCTTCCTGGCCATATCAAATTTTCCTAGAGTAGTGATAAGATGGAAACAATTTGTCTGGCCAGCCCCAAGATGTTGACATGACTATTTCTTGATGCACATGCAAAAAATGTCAACTTCTGAACAAAGAGTCAAAGTTCATGTCCAGTTCAGCAGTAGTTCACTAACAATGATGTAAATTGGACAAAGGTAAAAGGACTAGACTTCCTTCACTTTGCTGTAATCTAATTCGCCAATCTTTGATACACATTCGAAAGCCACTCTACAACGCTGCATCAACAACACCCCACCCCCCCTCTTTCCCAACCCAAAACTCCAACCAAAATAATAATAATATAAATAAATAAATAACACATGCACTATAATTTATTAATATCACAGGGATTTTCTTCTTTCAAGCTTTGATAAGGGCAACGAAGATATCACCTTTCCCAAAATTAGAGGGACTAAAAGAGTGAGAACAAGACTTCTGAAAAGTTGCTCAGTTGGAACAGAAACACCAACTCCAGAAGCTATGAATCTTGAGATAGAAAATGGAACCTGAGACCAAAAATATGAATATGACATTAGCAAGAAAAACTGAAGCAAGTGCATTCTATGAAGTAAAGAAACCAGTGAATAAGATAAATGTGCACATGTATGTATAAGAGTAAGGGAGATAAAAAAGACAACAAGAAAGTGCATCACACCAAGCCAATTATGCTGAATCATTCAACTTCACAAGGAAAGTTCCAAATTTGATTATCTAAATTAAAGTGAAAATACAACGTGCATGGATATACATATCAAAGAAATATAGACAAGAGAGTGCCTTATATAATATCAGCAGCAACTCAATGATCAGAAAACCATTCATCTGTACCATTAAATTGATATTTTTTGCAGTCAGCAATATCTAGAGACTGTTCTGTTGCAAGTTTATTGATTGCACTCCAGATCTTGTAGATGTGAAAAAATGATCCAGAGACCACCCAGAAAAAAAAAAATTGTTCGCCTAATGCATGTCAAATCCCAAATAGTTCACATATATAAAATGTCACTCTTGCATGAGTAACTTACAATCAAAATTCCAAGCAGATTTGATATTACTGTCATTGCAAGAGCAAGTGCAGAATTTCCACCAGCAAGCTGCAATGAGAAATTCAAATCACTATTAAACTCAAAAGCGTAAGATGTGTGGTATTGCAACTATGATAAACAAAGGATTGGCATACAAGAGTAAGAGCCACTCCACTTGATAATGTAGTTGGCATACAGCTAAATATCGCCACTCCTGTAACCAACATAAGTGTAATGAGTTTCACAACTAAGCTCAGAATATAAAAAAAAAAAGAAAAAAAAAAAAAAAAAAGAAGGTTAAGAAAAGAAGTAAGGTCAATAGCCAAACCTGTAACAAATTCTTGAGGCTGGAGATGGACTTGCAATATTAGCTTTGAGAAGCATGGAGTAAATAATAGAATCGAGCACTGCATTGATAAGTGGAGAAGCAATTTAACATGTATGTCAGCATAAGGGATACTTGTGCAACTGGGTCGCATGAACACTTTTATGATCAAGATGGTTCTAGAAGGGAAAAAAGGAGGCAACATTAAATGGGAAACTAACATCACATTTTTGTGTTCTCAGCTTTCATGGTCTTCAACAGGACATTTTGTCCTTCCCAGCATCTGTCTTCCACTTCAATAATGCTATTATTTACTCCCAGAAAATTGAATGCAAAAAAGAAAATGAAAATTGAGGAATTTTTTCGTCTTAAAATTTCTTAAAGCTGCAACATCTTTAACACGAGTAGGTTGTTATTCAAGGTTAGCATTGTAAGACATCCAATTTAAAGCTTCCTCTCCAATATTGCCACTTCTCTTCCTGGTTATATTTTTATCTATTTTCTTTTATTAGTTCTGTGATACAATATCCGTGCTTGAATCTAGTATGCCAAATGCAGAATCAGTTTACACATCTAAATAAAACCCAAACTTGAAAAGACGAAATTGAAACAAAAATCAATTAAGAAAACAAAATACCATAGCGAATGAACCAACAAAATGCATAATGGCATGTAAGATGGAAGGTCATACTAGCCCAAAAATTCCAACAGGCCATGCTTCAGCCGCAGCACCAATTTCTCCACTACGCAATGTCAAACCTATATTAGGAAGCAAAACAAAGCCTAAGATGGAAATCACAAAATCACATAAACTAATAAGTTAATAGTGAGTTTGGGAACGCTTTTGACACCATTAAAATAGTTTTCAAAAGATTGAAGGTGCTTTTGTGTTAAATTCTTAGCACCTGATAAAATGCTTTTTGAGATTAGATCTTCATAAGCACTTGACAAGCGCTTTTTAAAAGCATTTCTAGATAAGAAAGCAGTTGAGCTATTTATTAAAAAAGTACTTCTCAAGAAATCATATTACATAGTATTTTTGTAGAAAGCCTAGTTAACCCAAAAGCGCTTTCGTATAAAGCATTCCAAAATTTTGAAACAATTGAGAGATGCAAAATCTGTACCTGAGATAATGAATATGACAAATGTGCTAACTTTTGATAGATGATATTTATCAGCAAGACAGCCTAGACTAGGGTTTGCAAGTCCTAATGTTACTCCACCTATAAGAGCTGCACATAAAAAAAATATCCATTATTAATCAAATTCATATGTGCTTTTTCAGAAAGTGCTTTAACACCATTATAGGCTAAAAGCCCCTTACGTCAATTTCTAGTATTTGGTTGAAGTGGAAGACTTAGAGGTGCTTATAGCAGAAGCACTTGCAAAGTAATTTTTTTTTTTTTTTTTTTAATTGAAGAAAGAACACTAGAAATAGCTTTAGAAAATAAACAATTCACATGTGATTTTCCAGAAAGTGCTTCCTACAGAGGCGATTTTAAGTAAATTTCAAAGTTTTCGGTTAAAATTACCTAAAGGAAGAAAATTATCAGCGGCGAACTTCGACAAGGGTTTTGCCCAATTAAAGTCCTTGGGAGAACCCGGAACCTGATCGGAAGGTTGAGTAGCTCTAATGGGTCTTGAAATTGAACGGCTGTGGTTGAAACTGACGGAACGACTAAGGAGAACCGAACGATTGGAAGGGAAATGCAGGTTCCGGTGACGAAACGACGGCGTTTTAGCTGTTTCAGGTGCGAAAATTAGGGTTTGGAGTGTTCCCGCCATTGGACAATTGAAGTCAACTGAACACGATAACAGTCGACAACGGTTCTTGGCTCTAAATTTTGGATTTTTTAAAGAAAAAATAAATATAAAATTGCCAAATTAATTATTTAACCTTTCGTAATTCTTATTAGGCCCACATATATAAGGCCTTATTAAAACAAAAGTTTTAACAGAATCAAATGACGAAATGAAATTTCAACCCTTCAAAAAAGTATAAAAACTTTAATATTACCCCCAGCTTATCAGATTCAATTTCGAACCAACAACTTGATAAAATAGTTTTCTAAACATGTAAACCTTAAAAACTTACAAACAAAACCCAAAAGACTTAGAAAGCATTAAACCTCCTTTGCATGAAATTCATCATCCATCCTCACATAGTTAAAGACAAAAGCAATAGGAAGTTCATCACATCTACCCCATTCAAATGCCTTCTCTCTTGCTTCCTCCAACTCAACAATAGTAGCAAGCAAGTAGAGGAACATAAACTAATCACCACAACATTAGCATGATATACACATTTTAATTTAGTATTTATATTCAGTTTTAAAATAGATTATAATTTAATTTGAATCATTTATTGAACTTTAACCATGACAATCTAGTATTAAGAGTAAGCATAATTGTTTATTATTTAATTTTTTAAAGAACTTAATCATATAAAACATTATTGCATATAACTCAACTTATTTTTCCATTCCGGCCTTGCTTCTTCCCTTCAATTTCATCACAAATTTTCATAAGACATCAATAACATCAATTGATAAGAGAAGAATTTGAATTGAAAGCAAATTAAGTCAAGATTTAGGGTTTAGGTTTAGGGTTTTTGCTCTCTTCACATTGAAGAGTTTTTTCCACGTAAAAATTTTCTTGTATTTCTTTTGAATTGGATATTATTTTCAACACATTTGCTCAAAGTTCTGTTTCTCATAAATTTATTCAAGTAAGAAAATATTGTACTATTGCATTCTTTTTTTTTCACCTTCTTGATTATATTATTTTATTTGTTCAAAGTTTAATGATTTTTTAAAAGGTTTTAATAGTTGATTGACAAACAACGACGGAGTTGTAAAGGTCCCTTGGGCTAAAATCCTGGGTTCATCACTGGGAAGGGCACTCCCCATCCCCACCCATATCCTCGCAAAAAGCGGAAAATCCCCGTATATTGGGCAAGATGGGACGAGGCCCAGATTTCTGAGGCCCATTGCTCTGCCTATTTAAAAGTCAAATTCTGTTATAAAGGTTATGTTTTATTATATTTATTTATTATATTATATTTTATTATATCTACATATTGTATATCTAAATTCCTTTCTAAATCTCGTTTCTCATTAGAATTTTCATTTTAATTAAGGTTTTGCTGTTTTATAATTACCGTATATATGGTTAACTAATAAAAAGAAAGGGGGTAAAGTGACATTTCCCAACTTTATCATTTTCCCAATTTCAAATAAATCTGCACAGAGAAAGCAAAGAGCATGTTCCTAACATATAGTATCCACACAACAGAACAAAAATACAAATGGCTGCTGCCGCCATGACACTATCTCGTCTTCAACTTCTTCACTCTCCATCTCCAATTATCACCAGACCTTCAAATTTGCTCTCCAAACTCTCTCCTCCTCGAAGTTTTTTGTCACGCGCTTCCACGCGCTCTTCTCCTCGTTCCTTCCACAATTTCTCCACAGCTCACTGTTCCCGCTCTGACTCAATCAGGACAGTGTCTCACACTTCTTCGACGAGCGGCTCCATAGTCGGTGATCTTCTCGACTATTTAAACGAGTCTTGGACGCCGTTTCACGCTACTGGTATATCTCAATACGTTGTCATTTTCTATAATTGAGGAATTTTTTGGATTTTGAATTTGACAGCGGTTTTGTATGTTATTTGCAGCTGAAGCGAAACGGTTACTGATTGATGCTGGTTTTGATTTGCTAAATGAGAATGAGGAGTGGGAGCTCAAGGCTGGTGGACGATATTTTTTTACTAGGAATATGTCTTCTTTGGTTGCTTTTGCAGTGGGAGAAAAGTGAGTTTAATCAATCTATTTCTTAAAATTATTAATATTTCTTTTTTTTTCGTGTGAATTTCGAGAACTGTTATGTTATGGATACCACAATTTTATTAGAAAAACATCATTTTGTAATTTTTTGCAATGCTATACTTCTAGTTTACAATGTTGTATGGCGTATGCATTTGTCTAAATTTAGTGTTTTTATATAGCGTAGTTTGATGTCTATAAAGTGCTTGATGTCTATAAAGTGCTTTTGCTCAAAAGTTCTCTATACACTTTCAAACACAATTTGATCTGCTTAGGACTATTGAGAAGATTTTTTGAAAGGTTTTCATTTTATGCTTTTGCAGGTACACTGTTGGAAATGGTTTTTATGTTATTGCTGCACACACTGACAGCCCTTGTCTTAAACTTAAACCCAAGTCTGCGTCATCCAAGGCTGGTTATTTGATGGTGAATGTGCAGACCTATGGAGGTGGTTTGTGGCATACTTGGTTTGATAGAGACTTAAGTGTTGCAGGAAGGGTTATAATCAGAGGTAGTGATGGTTCTTTTCTGCACAAGCTTGTCAAAGTGGAAAGACCTCTACTACGAGTTCCTACATTGGCCATTCATCTTGATCGGTTTGCTTCTTTTTCCTTTAAAGAATCAATTTTGTGTGGCATCACCGAGTATGATGACTTAAAAAATTATAATGATTTATCATATTGGCTTAAAAAGTTATGATGATTGATCATATTATTTATATCTAAAGGTAATATTGTATCCTTTTTTTATGAGCATTACATTTTCTTTCTGATCGAGATCCTGCTATGTGTATTGATTGTAGTAACTCTTCACTTTTTTCCCCAATATTAACAAATGGAATTTTCTCTTCCTAGAGGATGCTTAAGTTTCATATACTGATCAATGATGAAAGTATAAAGAAATAACGAAGAGAAAGATAAATAAATTACCAGGTGAATTTGGTTTATTTGTATTAAAAAGTTGGAGATCATCTTGACCATAGTTATTAAAACATCTTGCCACCTCATCTTAGCAACTTTTTACTTCCCCCTAAATTACTCAAATCACCTAAGATCAACTGTTTCAGGGCAAGAAATGGTGGACTGCTACTGTCCCGCAGTATGCTGTCATGCTCATAGTAGTCAAACACTAGGGTTATTAAATCTTTCAATTGTATATTAATTGGAGATGATATCATGATTGTCCAAATCTTAAAGTATTTTGCATTGTGGTCTTTCTCTCTCTCTCTCTCTCTCTTTGATGAAATCAATTAAATCATGCGCGCGCGCGCGCGCGTGTGTGTGTGTGTATATATATCGAGAGAGAGAGAGAGAGAAAAATTATTTATTTATTTAATATTTTAGAAGTATTTCAAGTTATGAATAGTAGAACAATCTGCTTGTAGTTCATATGCTAATTTCATAGTAACCTGAAATCTGCTTCAATATTATAATTTTAGACTTCCTACTTATAAGAAGTAAAAATTCAGGTTCACCAGATGTGTTAAAAATTAATGTTTTGTAGCTGTTGAAACCATGGATAGTCACAAGTTCAGAATACTTTAGCTATAGTTATATTCTTTTTCTTAAATTGGGAAGATTTATTAGTTCTGCGGTTATGATAAGATTTTTTTCCATTAATTCTGATTCTGTAATAGGTTCTCATCGTATGCATTGAAGTCATTTGCTTTTATCTGACGGATTGGGAATATTCTTGTATGCTCACTTATGTATGAATAATACTACATATACAAACTCAACCCATACAACCTGAGGTGTTTTAATGTGAGTGGATAATTTCAAATTAGAGATAATTTAAACAAATTAGAATGATGATATGTCAAACATATAGGGTTGCCACATCAATTTGTAGGGAATAGTTTGTATAATTCGTTTGTATATGTAGCATCACTCCTTATGTATTTCTTTCACTTCTCTTTCTTGGGTTGTTTAGCACAGCACTGTGAACAAGGATGGGTTCAAGCCAAATCTGGAAACTCACCTCATTCCACTACTTGCAACCAAATCAGAGGAAGCATCACAACAGCCAAAAGAGAAAAGTAGTTCGTCATCTTCTAAGGCTGCTCATCATCCCCTACTTATGCAGGTATGTCTTTTCATATCTCTACTGTCAGTTGGGAAGTAAAGGTAAGTGCAGAAAGATAACTGGTAATGGCATGACTGGAAACTGAGCTTGCCTTATCTTTGGTGCTTTTTTCCTGCACCAATAACGGCAAAGAAAGGTGTCTGATGGATATAATGGATGTTGAAACTGTTTTATTTATAAAAATTCAAAAATTTTAATTTATATAATATGAAATAAATCAGCATCAATTAGCTTCTGCAACAAAGTGAAAATGAATCTGTTTACGGTTATTGCAAATTTATGAAATGTAATTATTAGCTGGCCACTTGTTTGAGACAATGGTGTGACTAATGTGGAATTCCATGTGAAAGGTGGAAGTGTTGTAGAATTTGTATTTAAATTTATTTGTAATACAAATTAGTAATCTATTGACTTTATTACTATTAAAAGAAAGTTTTCTTTGTATGTATATTATCACATCACATCATCAATCCCATAGGACACTCCATAACTATTAAAAGGTGGAAGTGTTATAGAATTTGTATTTAAATTTATTTGTGATATTAATTTGCAGATTTTGTCAGAAGAGCTGAGTTGTGAAATTGATGACATAGTGAGCATTGAGCTAAACATTTGTGATACCCAACCTAGCTGCCTTGGAGGTGCAAACAATGAGTTTATATTTTCTGGAAGATTAGATAATCTTGCTTCAAGTTATTGTGCTTTGAGAGCTCTTATTGATTCATGTGGATCACCTAGTGACATATCAAGTGAACACGCTATTCGTATGGTTGCTTTATTTGACAATGAGGAGGTAAATGTTTTCGCAATAGTTCATAACGTCAAATAAAATGAGCTTTATTCCTTCTTTGTATGCTTAACATGTGAACATGTCGTTCCCTTTTTTATACCTTTTGCCGAAAAGCAATTGGGCACAACGGTTAGGTTGTTAATAAGCTTATTAAAATATTATAATCGTAGGAATTATTACTTGTAAGAGCCTTAGCCTTTAGTGCTTTTTAATTTGCCGTTTTGTATCATGGAAGTCATCCCTCTGCCGGGTTTTCGCCTCTTTTGTGAACATTGGGTCCACTTTTGTATTTTCTGTCTTAAAAACAAGTATATATCTTTGATTTTATATTAGAGGGTATCATTAATGGACAGAGGGAGTTAGAAGGCCAAAATCACCATTCACCATTCAGATCAATTTCTGTAAGTTTTGTATCATTATATCACAAAGATAATGGAAGATGGGTATGCATGCTTCACTTGCATGTTATATTGTTAGGAACACCATACTTTCCTAAAGTGGCTGTCAAAAATAGATGTTGTTACACATTCTTGCTTCGTTTTCAAGTTCAGTTCAGCATTTGTGTGCGGGTAGTCTTTGGTATCCCTTGGCTGGATTGCGTAGTTAAGGCAAGTTATTTCTAAGTTGTAACTTCTGTTCAACAGGTGGGCTCAGATTCATATCAAGGAGCTGGTGCACCAACCATGTTTCAGGCTATAAGACGCATTGTTGGTTCCTTAGCACATGAGTACGCTGGTGAGAGTGCTTTTGAGCGTGCAATTCGCCAGTCATTTCTTGGTAAGTTTTAAATTCGTCCATTATAAGGCTATAAAACTTTTTAGTTTCTTAGCTGGTTTCGAGGTGAGAAATAGACTTTAAGAAGAAATTTTTTGCATGAGGTGAAATTTTTTTGACAACATTGAATTTGAGAATCCGGATGTAACCTATTGATTTTATTTAGGAAACTTTATATTCTTATGGGGAGTAATAAGGGAACTTTTATTTTTCCCCAGTTCACAGTAAGGCTGTTGACAAACTAAATTGTGGAGTAGTATGAATATTGTAGCTGACCAACATCTCCTTAAGTTAATCTTGGCATTTATGGATATTGAGGTGGACATTAGTACCAAACCGCAGAACCAGCTAATTGTTTAAAATACCTTATAGAATATGGAAGGGCTTTGGGGGAGGGAAAGAGAGATGAGATCTTCTTAGAAAGATACTACGTCAATTATAAAGAGCTAAGGATCTTTTTCTTGGAGTTTCTAAACGCTTGGTCATTAATACTGTATTGTTGAAGATTATGGTAAGATTTTGCATATCTTATTTCTTATAAATCTAGTTTTATCCTTACCATTTAACTTCAGATTTCTTGGCAAGTTATGCTTTTTTCTTGATTCCCATGCAATCGGCTTAACTTTATTCATGATTTAACTTTCAGTTTTTGCCTTTTTGTCTAAAGTCTGGTGTTCTACTGATCCTTTTTTTTTAATTTTCCTGATATGGTATATTTTATTGCATGGATATGAGGTAAAAAATACTTGGATTAGGATCCCTGTTAATTAAGACCTGTTAGATAAACTTGTGTTCACCCATTCTGCATTTTGTGGTACCATAACCATTAATCCTTCTATCTGACTTGCTCTCTGTATATATAGTATCTGCAGACATGGCCCATGGAGTTCACCCAAATTTTTCTGAGAAACATGAAGAAAACCATCGCCCAGAAATGCATAAGGGTCTAGTGATCAAGCACAACGCAAATCAGCGCTATGCTACCAGTGGAGTGACAGCTTTTCTATTTAAAGAGATTGCAAAAATTCATAACCTTCCAACTCAGGTAACTGCCAGCTGAGTTCTTGTAGGAAAGAGGGGGAATGTAAATTTCTTTTCTTGCTTTGATCATTGTCGTATTTGATTATGAAGATAATCTCTTGGGTACATTATTGAATCTTCTGCCAGCTCAAGTTTAGGTCTCCACCACACAGTAATATAAACTTTGAATGTAAATTTTTTTGACATTTTCAAGCTCTTGTCGCAGTGAACTTGCCGTCCATCACTTCAGTTAGTTGTGAATATAAGTAAACTCTAATTCTAATTTCTTTGTCAATTTTAGGTTTTAATGCTTTGTACTTAAGCACTTAAAGCCTATGTTAAAACTTCAATTGGAGGTGATCCAACTAATTCATACTTACACTGGTTTGCAAGTGACCTTGCTCTGGTGTCATCTTTGAGTCATCCTATGATATTTTCATGTTCAACTCTTTGGTCTCATGTTTTTGATACAAGGTTTTAACTAATTGAGTATTCTAATCTGAGTAATCTAATATTCATACTGTTGAGAGTGTTTTATCTATCATATTGTATGTTAGCAAAGAAATATTTAAAGAGTGGTTGCAATGTATTGCTATCACTAACCTGAGAATAAAAGGCAGATTTAGGCATTTATCTAATGTGTTGCTAAGACATTTTGTGAAGTATTGCGTCTGGACAGAACTATAAACTATACAATCTGAAATCTGTTTATGGAGATTTGAGATTTCAACACTTAAGGTGACAGAAGTTCAAAAGAAAATTGTGTAATGTTTTCATGACCGTTGGATTAGGTTGTCAAACATTTATTCTACTTGTTTTTATTATATTCAGTTTATGTGCTTATCAATATGGGTCAATTCCAGTTAGGCATTGGCGCTATGAGGCCAGATGAAGTCAATAGACCTTTCCTTTATTGATGATATATAAGTGCAGTAAATTTGTTTGAAAAATCACGTTTTTTGCATATTAACCTTTCCCTTTTCAGGGAATCTTTTATGGAGGAACATAATATCATGAAACTGAGAAATTGTTTAAGCGTTGAAATATCAGATTTTCTAATTTTTATCTTGAATTATTTCTCTGTTTAGGAATTTGTGGTAAGAAATGATATGGGATGTGGATCCACCATAGGGCCCATTCTCGCTTCAGGGGTTGGCATTCGAACTGTTGATTGTGGCATACCTCAGCTTTCCATGCACAGGTATTAAGTTGATTTGTAGTTGATGTGGGGTAGGCTGAACTTTTTGTATCTGTTCATGTGAGAAAAGGAGCAAAATATTTTGGAATCAGGTCAGGTAAAGTTTTAGGCATTTTGTCCTAAGTTGTAGTGGGACTAGTATGTGCGTTGCTGTAAAGGATTTGCAATTTCTAGTTGTACGGTCTGTGGCATAATTAGTAGGGATTTACAAGGTTTTGTACCAGTAACTTCATTACGTATCAGGTACATTAGATGGCTGATTCAAGAACACCAACTAAACTATCATACATGCATATTACGTTCCTTTGGGTGTTGATTTCGGAATATGTAATTATGTTTAACATCTGAGATAAAATTCTATTGATCCCTTTCTGTAGAATCTAATCAAACTGTGATAAAATATGTATCAAACTGCAACTTCGGTATATTTTGCTGATTATGGTTGTCCGAGCTATTCAAGAATGTTTTAAATAATGCTGATAAACTTTAGCACCATGGCTTTTATTTTTTCAAATTTTCTTTTATTTAAATAAACTAAGGAAGCAATTTTTATTTTTATATTTTTAATTCCTTGCAGCGTGAGAGAGGTATGCGGGAAGGAAGATGTAGACATTGCTTACAAACATTTCAAGGCATTTTACGAAACTTTCTCCAGCATAGACAAGAAGCTAAGCGTGGATTATTAGTGAGTTTTTAATTACCATAATATCGGATAAGTCATTTTTTGTTGTATGCGTAACCAAGGGACAGAGAGACTAATTTATTTTCATTTTTTCATAATACAACTCTTTAATTCAAAATTACAATATTGATTTAAAAAATAAAAGCTTTTATTCCATTTTCTTCTTTCCCAATAAGATGGATACGGAATATAACATGAACTGTGGCTGATGACAAATCTTACCAAATTTGAATACTTTGTACGGACATTAACATCGGCATGAGGAAGATGGAGACCGATGTAGCCAAACAATCATATCTATATGATCAAGGTTTGTTGGTGTTAACAGAATTCTCAGATGAAGTCGAGGCATGATTCCGTTCACCATTACCATTGGATTTTGGGTACCCTTTCGACATTTTCTGCTTCAGCTCGGACAACAGAGCCTGGTTCTCCTGGTTGAGCTGGTGAGCTTTCTTCCTCAGCCTCTCATTTTCTTGAATCATGTAACAGTTCTGCAAATATAGCTTTGTGTTCAGCTTCTCCATATCCTGCCCTGAAATCGCACATAGAAAATAAAACAAAAAAAATAAAAATAAAAATTAGATAAACATCTCAAAGCAGGATTCTACTCAAGACAGAGTAGCAATACTAAATATTCCCTAGTTATTTCCGAAACTGGAAGAGAGTGAAAACTAGAAGGGGAAGATAAATATGTCTGGCTGAAGAATGAAATGTGCCTTAACAAGGTGAAACAAATAATAAATGTTATGCACGCCTGGATAAATGTTCTTCAAAGAACAAAATCATCCAAAAATGAATTTGTGACATGATAAATGTATGCATGCATAGATAATATCATTTCTTGCCCGTTTGACACGGCGAAATTAAGAAGTTAGGCGGGGCTAACGAAAAAGATATTGTTCGTTATAATTTTAGGACTAAGAGAATAATTAGCTATGAAATTAAAATAATAAATTGAGAAATGGGTGAGAAGCAAACTCTTAACCCTGAAACCTTGTTTTTCTGAGAGAAGAGAGAGTTAATTTGGAAACAGAAACAAATGAATGTTGTGAAGAATTGAAAGCAAAATGGGTGTCAATAAAAACAGGTGCAAAGCCATCTTGTCTGCCTTTTTCAAGCTGAAGAGGATGATTATAAAAAACTTTAACCGTCTGCACATAGAGAGAAAAAGGGATAAGACATGATTAGAAATGCAAAAAAAGCACAAGCTTTAGTTAAGTTGTTAGAGCAATGCACGAAAAAAGTAGTGTAGAAAGCAAGTTTATTGAGAAACTAAAAGAGAGATGCTTAGGGAACATACCATTTTTTTTTTGTTTCTAATCATAATGCATACACATGAAGTACGAGAGGTGATAAAGAAAAAGGATTATATATATTTATATTTGAAAAACCTCATGATTTCGTGAAAGTGTTTAAGTAAATATTTTCTTGCTTTTTTTTTGTTTAAAAGTAATTTTAATTTTTTTTCCCTATTTTAAGATTGTTTTTTCTAGACACAATACCTTCATATGAAAGAAGAGTGATACACAAAATAGCTTTTTTTTTTGGATATTTTGAAAAGCAGATGTGGATTATAAATAATATGTTTGAAACGTCTTTCGTCAAAGTGTTTAGTAAATATTTTCTTTTCTGGTTTTAAAGTAATTTTAAGGGTTTTTTTTTTTTTTTTTTTTTTTTTTTTTTATATCTAAGATTGTGTTTCTTAACATAATGTGTCCACATAAAAGAGAGAGTGAGATTTTTAAAATGGATGTGGATTATGATAGTATTTTGGAACAAAACATCTCTCTTGAGTATTTAGTAAATATTTTCTTCTTTTTATCAAAGTAATTCTAAGCAATGTTTTAAAAACCAACCCGGGTTAAACTCGTAAAGTGGCTGGGTCTGATGGGTCAAACCTGTGACTTCAACATAAAAAAATTCAAAATTTTTTATTTTCAGTGCATGTTAGCATTGTTGCTGTTTTAGGGTACATTAGCCATGTCGACGTCGACCTTTTTTTTGTTTTTTTCGGTTGTTTTCTCACCCAAAATCACCCCTCACCACCACTAGAACGCCCATCCTCTCCTCTTCAAAAACATACCCTTTACTCCTTTCATCACTTGTCGATTGCCAACCCGTCACTGCGTCGATCAACTGTCCTTTGTTGAATTCCAGCTCTATTGTGCAACGACAACTCCAACCACCCTTAAACTCACCATCTACTCCTTCAAAAACCCCAAAGTTCCCAAGCCATTCCACCCTCCAATTGTCGGCAATCAAAAGCTAAGGTTTCGTCATTTCTTGCCAAATTATGGCAATTCCAATGGCTAAAACTTATCAAACAACACCTCCCGACTCATCGTGATCCACTCTTCAAAACCCCCTAACCTTGATTCTTGTTTGATAGTTGAACGTTGGTCGAAGTCATCATGATTTGAAATTGGGTTCACTCGGTTTTTCCCTAAAACGGTTGGATTGCGGGTTACTACGTAACCCGATCCAATCACGGGTCATACTGGTGATTCACACCCTCAATTTTAAGGTCGGCCCAACCTGACTCAATCCATTCCCGCCGAACCGTTCAACCGAACGGGTCAGGTTGGGTTTTAAAACATTGATTCTGAGTGTGTTTTCTATCTTTAGATTGTTGTTTTTAGTATAATAACTACCATAAAACAAGAGAGTGATATAGAAAGGTCTTTATGAAATTTCCAAAAGTGTGTGGATTATGAAAGCGTTTTCGATAAGAATGTATTTCGAAAAGTGTGTAGTAATTTTTTCTTTTTTAAAAGAATAATTCAAGTGTTTTTCTATCCTGCAAGGCTGAAACTAAATAACAAGTAAACATGAAAAAAGACAGATATAAAATCGGTATTTTTGACATTTAAGAAATGGTTGTTAATTATAATGTATATTCGAATAAAACTTCTTTCGTAAAACCCAACATTTGTTGTAAAAGTACTTATAAATACTTCTTTTTCTATCTTTAAGTATTATTGTTTCCATACCTAATATATAACGCATGAAAGAAGAGAATAATGTTTGAAAAAAAAACTGCATATTTTGTATTCTAAAAAGGAGTGATTCAAAAATCTTTCACAAAGTGTTTAATAAATATTTTCTTTTTTAAAGGAAGATTTATTTCATTCGCTCTTGAGAGATGATGCTCAAGCGTTACAACAATTTTAGAAAAGCATTAAAAACTCCCCTAACAATGGTTTTTCTGGTATTTGTAGGGTGCTTTTTAATTTTGTAAGGGGTTTTGGGATATTTTTAAGGGGTTTTTATTATTTTAGGAAGGTATCTAATATTTTCCGAAAACCGTTAGCATTTTTAAACTCATCATCTTGCAGTGTCCGAATAAAATTAATCTTTAAAGGAATTACAAATGTTTTTCTATGTTAAGAAATGCTTCTGTAAACCCCACGGTTGGTCTAATGGTCAGAAAGTTTGCTCCCTTCTTGAGTTCTTAGGTTTAAATATTAGGTTTTCTACCACAATTAGACCTGGTAAATGGGCAGGTTGGGCGGTATGGTCCGGGTAGCAATGGTCATGGGTGGAACGGTCACGGTTAACGGGTGAAAAATTCTCGCGGGTCGACATTTTCATGATCCGTACCCGCCCGTGCGGCACGGTCCCCGTGAAAATGGAAGCAGCTTTTTACATTTTTCATATTTTTTACTGTTTTCCATATTAAACTCTTCCTAAGTTCTGACAAAGCAACATAAAGATGAATAAGTAAATAACAACTTTCAACATTAGAAAAGCTATCTGTAAGCCTGAGGCTGATATTCTAGTGTTTATGCTATAACAGAGGTTGACCAAAATTATCAGCCAATACAAGCATAAAAGATTCACTACTTTATGCTCTAACTTTATACCAAATCCATCACCAACTATCTCTTAGAAGTCCCTCAACCTTGACTCAAGCGGAAAAAGAATGGTGAAGTGAGGTTGCTCTTACGGAAATATCTAGCTCAAAGATCAAAAGTTTACTAACCTACACAGTAGAATAATAGGAATTTCAGAAACAATAAGAGTTAAGAACACACATGCACACAAGCAAAGACCTTGAAATTAAACAAAAAAAAAAAAAGTTCAAACATATTTTTCCTATTTCCCAAAACCAAAGAAGTTTAAGTTAAAGGTCCTGCCCACCCAGTAAGAGTTACGAAAACAAATAGTCAACTACAAAATGCTTAAGCAACCACATCCATAAGCTAACCATGGAAAAAAGAGAGACAATAGCAAAAAAATTCTCTTTAACTATCAGGGCCTTAAGAGCACTTTCTCTGAACAAATAAAGGTCCCAGTAGTGTCTTCAAAATTATTACAGCCTACAGAGCAGTTTTTTGTCATGCAAGATTTGTCTTTTCTTCTTTCAGTTTCAAACTTTCAATTCGTCTCTACAAGATTGGTTTGAATTAAGAGACCACACTGACCTGACTGCTGCCGTGCTGGTGCTGCCGTGAGAGGAGACTGGTGCTGCCGTGCTGGTGCTGCCGTGAGTGAGATCTGCTGCTGCCGTGACCTGCTGCTGCCGTGACCTGCTGCTGCTGGCACCTGCTACTACTGTGCTGGTGCTGCCGTGAGAGGAGACTGGTGCTGCCGTGCTGGTGGAGACTGGTGCTGCCGTGAGTGAGATCTACTACTGCCGTGACCTGCTGCTGCTGCCGTGACCTGCTGCTGCCGTTAGAGAAGTCAAAGAATGAGGGAGAGTGGAGCTGCTGTGAGAGTGAGAGAGTGAGGGAGTGAAGCTGCTGTGAGAGGACTGGAGCAGTGGAGGCTATGGAGCTGCTGTGGAAGAGAATGGCTGTTGCGTTTTTTGTTTTTTTTCTCTGATAAGTTTTGCTATTTTGGTTTAGATTAGGGTTTGAGTTGAGACTTGAGAATGAGACTGTGAGAGGACGAGACGAGTCATTCATAAGTTTTATTTTATTTTTTTTTTTAATTTTGAATTTGCGGGTCTGCGGGTACCGCAGGTAGTACCCGGTCCACCCGTAAAAGTCACGGGCGGGTCGGGTACGAGTTAATTTTTCACGGGTCGAAATATGTATTACCCGTACCCGTTGACCCGCGGGTACACCCGCCCGTTTGCCAGGTATAACCACAATAACATTGTGGCTTACATGACTATTTAAGCTTGTAGGGTATTTAATGGGTCTCAGGATTAGTTGAAGTACGTGCAAACTGGACTAAACGCCGTGATTACCAAAAAAAAAATATAGCTTCTATAAATATATCTACAAAATGTATTCTAAAAAAGTGCTTCCATACATTAATTTATACCATGGAAAGCGTTTTTATCTATTTCAACTATGCATAATAGATTTTAGTAAATATGATTTTGACTACACAAAAACGTTGTTTTTACCACATGAAAAACACTTACAAAGCCACCATTTAGTCAAAAGAAATCCAAGTCTAAACCTTTTTAAGGAGACCATAATTATAATTTATCGAGGGTTCTTATTAATTTTGAAAAGAAATCAATATATGGTTGGTGGTTTCCATACATCTCAAAATTCACATCAATTAATGATAGTTTAAAATTGATCTTTAAATTAACTTTTTTGCAAAAAACCTTTTCAATTAAAAACACTTACTCTAAAAATAAATTTAAAATAATGTCTATTAAATGTTTAATTTCGTAGTAAGTAATTATGCAAGTGTTTATTTTATGATTAAAGGTAACATTAATTAAATGTTTTTAATTATAAAAGCACCCCTATGTTTTGTTTAATATTAAAAAAAAAATGATATTTGAATGCATCATCAAGTCAAAAAAAAAAAAAATCCAATTCAAAACCTCGTGAGTGTAGATCATAATTATCTTTGGTCCAATTTTTTATTAGGGTAATAATAATTAGTATATGGTTGGTAGTTAAATCAGAAATAAAGAAACATATTTTTTGTCTACAAATTATTAAAAACCATCTAATTAGTTTAATTGAGTTCAAAGACATATTTTCATGCACTAACTCAAATTAAATTGATTGAGGGATATTTAGAAATTATCATTTTACTTATTAAACATATTTGAATTAATTACTATGACCACTTTGACAGAAATAAATAAATAAATTGCTCTCCTTGAGCTCTTCTAAAATATCAACAAATCTCTTCTAAAAAATTAGAAGAATACAACTTTATTCTAATACCATTAAATACTTAACTATAATAAATTGGTTTTTATGAATTAATATAGAATATTAATAAAATTATTTTATCTAACGATTTAGTTAAATAAAAACAATCTTGGGATTTATACATATATGACCAACCCAATAATTACACTTTTGCAAAATATTCTGAATTTATTTAAAAGAAGAATTTAATGTCTTACCAATTATACCTTCAATAAAACAATAAATGATATATTCTTAATATATAACATAGATTATGCTACATTTAATAGTTTAATATTTAATTGAATGATCTAATTAAAACAATAAAACATATTAGATCATATTGAATAATACTAAACTTAGTAGTCTAGTATAGTCAAACTATTTTTGTCATTATTATTTTCATTGAGAAAAATTAAATTAAGTCGTGTGATTTTATGAGTAAATCTGTCATATAAACAAAATCTTGACATTAAGGAAATTAATATTATTAAAGATAGTTATAAATGAAAATATTTCGTTTTTATATTTAGCAAAATTTAGTAGTGTAACCCATATATAATATTATCCAACCTTTATCTCAAACTATTTTTACCCAAATTTAAATGGTATAATTTCACCAAAATCCAGACGTCTGGCTTAAAGTCAAAGAATCCAAAGGTCTAATTACACACACTCCAAAGCATTGTTTTAAAACTCAACTCAACCTGGTCGGTTGGACCCCTTCGACCAAGACCCGATCGGTGAGTTGGGTCGACAGAGTCAAAAAACTAAGGGGTCTATTTGATCCACATTCACTTGGGGTTGGGCTAGGGGTACCGTAGGAACCCGTCGGTCCAATCGTTTTTTGAAGAATAAAATTACAAAAAACGACTACTTTCGGTGAGCAAACATGAAACTAGGTTAGGGGGTTTTGAAGGTTGGATCATGTTGAATCGAGAGATGGTGTTTGATTAAGTTTTAGTTGTCAGATTCGTTGGAATTTCGCCAAGAAACGACGAAACCCTAACTTCTGATTGCCAACAATTGGTGGGTAGAATGGCTTGGAAGTCTTGGAGGATTTGTAGGGGAGTTGCCGATGAGTCTAATGGTGATGGTATCATGGTAATTGGAGTTTTCGTTGCTCAAAACGACCTTAATCTAGCAAATGACTACTGGAAAACCTCTTTTTCCATTGCTAGCAATTGGTAGATGTAATGGTTTTGAAACTTTGACGGTTTTGTAAGTGAATAGCCGATGAGTCTAATGGTGGTGTTGGTGATTTGAGTTTTCGTCGCACAACACAACCTAAATCAGACAAAAGACAACCGAAAAAACACGTTTTTCATCACCCACGATCGACGAGTGATAAGAGAGGATAAAGAGTATAGTTTTGAAGAGGAGAGGTTGAGGGTTCTAGTGGTTGCGACAAGGTGATTTTGGATGAGATAATAGCTAGTGAAACCAGTGACTATGCTAACGTGATTCAAAAATCTCGAAATATTTTTTATGTGACACATCACCACTTTGACCCACCGGTGAAACCAATCAACTTAGGACCCGACTTCTTTGCTGGGTTTAGGCCCGAGTTGGGTTTTAAAACATTGCTTCAAAGATCTACAAGATGATGAATGAAATTGTTTATACAAAATTATAGAGATTAATCGAAAGGTCCAATTACAGACTAAATCAAACATTGTTCATATGGTACATGATGTGATTTCATTATATCAATGAAATGGTCTACCGAAGCATTATTGAGTGAGCAACTCTCCATCCGAATATGGCACCAAATCAAACTTCCTACAACCCAAATACAACTTCCAGCTCCCACACAAAAATCCTTAAACCATATTCTCTTTTTCGCTGCTCGTAATGCTGCAGTGGGACAAAAACAGCATATTCATTTATTTTATATGAAAATTGAAAAAGAAAGGTTTCATCGACAAGACAAGAGGACCTATAAAAAAAGAGGGAGAATGAAATGGTCGGCATACCTTCATTTCAATTCAGTGCACATGTTACAAGCTACCACAGTACTGATCTTAGCTCCATTCACCATCATTGGTGCAGATAATAGAGCTCACTAATCATCCAAAATAATGGATCTTTCAAGCCATGGAGCTTTGTCATCCTTCAGTACGGATGCGACCTCCATGTGAGAAACCGAGAATGGCAGAATGGATCAGTGGCAGTCCATTAAAAAACATTTCCACCCCAGTCCACCTCGGCTCTCTATGCCTGCACTCCTGCCAACTTGGATATCCTATTCCAGTGTCAGCCCATCATAATTCAAGCTCGAGTACCAGTTGGCAGGGCGCAGGCATGGCCCAAGCCCCTCATCGGGGCCGGGCTAATCCAAAAGTTGCATCAGGTTGCTGTTGAGACTGCATAAGCACAATGACAGTTAATTATGGATTCAAGATCTGAAAAAATATTCAACGGAAGGATCAGTTTAGTTTCAAGACAGCAAATGAAAGAATTTATTTATTAGCAGAAGAAAAAGATATATTCAAAGGAAGGATCATATATATGCTGCATTCTTTTGCAATCACAACTATGTGGTAGTAGTTCATCGACTACACAATCAACATTTACTACCGACCAAATTCTACTCTACAGTGCAGGCTAGAATTCTAGCACCATGCTAGTACATGCATAGATCACAGACAGCTTGTCAAAGAGGTAGTAATTGATGAGTCCAATGCTCTTTTCTTTGAATCATCAAATAAAATATTGAAGAAGCCAGAGGTCCTTGTAAAGTGAAATTCTTGGTTGGACCATTGCACAACCAAATATATATACCAACAACATCAATGATGCTCTCAAACCCTCAAAGGTGCATCCGTGGCAAATTGCGAGATTAGAGCATATATCATCATCTTATTCCTTTTTCAGCCCCTTGTTTTTTCTTTCTTTGATTCACATTGTTTTTTATTTCAATAAATTTCTTGGTTGGCTTCCCTATTCAACTGCTCTACAACACTGAATATATTATAGTATGGCTCTGGATAGAGAAAAGAAACCTGCATGTTGTGGGATTGCAAAGTGATGAGCTATTAATTGATTATTTGGAAAGAAATTGAACAATCTTTTGAACTCTACATTGGAAAGAGGTTTTGCTATAGTGGGATAAAATTAAAATTTGAGCTCCTATCTGATTTGAAGTACAGAAAAGTTCTGTAACTACTAGGTTTTAGTAGGGCTTGAATATTTGATGAGATCCTTTCCCAGACTAGCAATCTACAGCGCTTTTTGACATCTACATACCCCAGTTATAGTGTGGACAGCTTGTTCATTTCCATGTAAGTCATTCTTTGCATATATTAAATTTCATTGTTTCTTATCAAAATGTGAGAACAAAGATGTTCAGTCCCTATAAAGAATCCAATATTTGCCATTTTTCAAGAAAAAGAAAGCTACTGAAATTGTCATACCTGTGAAAAAGGTTGATGAAGATGTTCATGAGGATGGATGAAAGGCATTCCAGGGCGTTGACAAGGATACTGTGAAGAATGCATATATATGGCAGATGCAGAGTGTGCACCAACATGATTTGGACTAAATGGTGCCATCATTGTTTCTGGATGACCATACCTAAGTCCTGCAGGTGTTGAAGCTGCAGCCCATGGCCCAGGAAGATGTTGAGGAAGTGGACGAGGTTGGTGCTCAGTAGAAATCTGAGGCCTATGGGCAGATCCAAGCTGAGGAAACTCAGTGTTATAGTTCAAAGCAGGGGCGTACATAGGCTGTATGGAATATGGTGCACTATTGAACCCAAACCCAGGATCAAATCTTTGCATATACCTGAACAATTAAGAAAAACAGATGATATGTAATATGTATGATTCGACTAATCCAACCAAAAAGCACAGTTTTCAAAACAATACTCAATAGAACAGTTGAGACACAAACTCCAGCAATATAATTTTAAAATTCACAAACATCCATGATGCTTAAGATTTTCCATCAAGCACTATTATGTCCTCTCTTCTTTTCGCAACTTTGACAGAGTAACAAATTAATCAAACCATTGTCACACAATGTAAACAATAACCTAGCCCCTTTTACTGTAATCTGTGTTCAAATCATAGCTAAAAGTCTTTAGCTTTCATAGTTGTCGCTCAATTACAAAATTACAAAATTATCTCAAAAACCAATGAACAATCAAAGACCAACAGGCTGAAAGATGAGCAAACAGTTAGATATAGATATAAGTCCAGAAAAAAAAGGACTTAAATTCTTTTGTAGTCAGAAGATTATAGACTGATTGATAAGACAGTATTTTTCAAGGCAAAAATGACTATGTAATGCTTCTGGGTGGACAGTTGCAAATTGCAAATCAACTGCAAACTGGGAGGCTAGTCCTGAATTCTGAAACATAATATATCATTACAAAGCTACATATACAGTTCACAAAAAGCAAAAAAAGAAATGAATGAGAAAAAAAGAGAGAGAATGACCAGAGGGCAACAATATCATACCATAACACCATCAGTAAGTATACCAAGTTGCGATACCAACTTTGAATCTCAAATTAACGTAGCTGTTGATGTGCTAACACCATATTAAATATAGGAAAAACATCACTTCACATAAATCCTACACTTAATATGGTGTTGTCATGTCAGCAACCACAACAATTGAGATCCCAACTTTATAACTGTAGCATCACTCCTAAACATTCACAGCAAAAATAGTTTGAGAGATCATTGTCACTTGGACAGTCAAGCAAATGCCCTTGTCGATTGTATTGATCAATAACTAAACACATACCAATTTGAAGGAGAAAACAGATGAGAAAAGAACATGGCATACACTATCCTTTCATTGTTCTCTTCAGGAACAAAACAGAAATTTCAACAATCCTGAATAACCTTGATAAGTGTTTGCAAACTGTTCAAAGCCCAAAATACAACCAAAAACATTATAAAATTAAAAATAAAATAAACAAAATACCTGTCATAGCTTCTGTCATAATCAGGGTCCTTGCGGTCAATTTCACGATCCCGAAAGATAGCCACCCTATTATTATTTGGTTTATACCTACCAACTGGCTCTTTCTCTGTCCTACTTCTAGCTGGTCTACTGCTACTTGTAGAAGAATCAACCAAACCTCTACCAGTAGAAGAGTCAACCAAACCTCTACCAGTAGAAGAGTCAACCAAACCTCTACCAGTAGAAGAATCAACCGAACCTCTACCAGTAGAAGAATCAACCAAACCTCTACCAGTAGAAGAATCAACCGAACCTCTACCAGCAGAAGAATCAACCGAACCTCTACCAGTAGAAGAATCAACCGAACCTCTACCAATAGAAGAATCAACCGAACCTCTACCAGAACTTATATCAGAAGCTCCAGAAACAGATTTTTCTTCCATCTTAGACATTCCCAAGGGACCATCAGGCAACTTTGTTTCATTCTCAGGTTTTCTACTATCACCACCACTGAAATTATTAGAGTTAAATATCCGTGCACGGGCCCTATTATATTCTTCTTTTCTTTCCTCCACACTTTTTGAACTATTGGACTTTAACGAATTTGAATTTGAGTTGCCGCCAGTCTGTGATTTCTTTAGTGGCCTTTGTTTAATTGCAACCTTAACAGCCCCACCACTTTCATCTGATGGTAAATTTACAGGGATGTCTGCCAAGCGAATCACTGGAAGCCTACACTCAGAAGTCTTTCGGACAATGATTCTGGAACCAGAACCATCAGGTAAATTATTGTCTAACAAAACCATTGACTGCAATGAGTAATGTTGTGCCACCCGGTGAGCAGCCAAGCGTAAATACGAAGTAGGCAGCTGCTGAAACTCTAATTGCTGTTGAGCAGGATCGCGAATGAACTTTTCAACATCTTGCTCCATCCGCAGAACTGAACAAAAGAGATTAAAATCTTTATTATAAACAGAGGAATCTATACTATTATACTAATGAACACAACATAAATGAATGACATGAACAAATTCTTGCTCATCCATCAAAAGCATAAATGAACATGATATTCAAGCTCACAAACATGTAATAATTTCTATAACAAGCAGGCAGTTAAAATATGCCTTACAATCATAACACATAGTAGGCTTATGAACTTTATTGACTGCATCCCAGCTCCATATGCCATTGTAGTCAGTAGATTATGCTTAACAAAACTTTAATCACCTTACGAAAAAATAATATATCATCTATCATATCAACTGATCCTACGATTCAGAATCAATAGATTCACAGGGAAACTCCATGGGGTGAGTTGTGTGGTTAAGGGGGAAAGGAAAATTCATGGCATCTGAGCCCATAGCATAAATTGTCTAGTTTTCTTTCTAACTGTCTTTTACCTTTGATACTTATAGCACAGACAAACTCTCCACATGATCCTATAATTAAATTAAGACCGGTTTTAAAAAAAAATATAACACCTTCCTTAAAATTTACTTCCTAGCCCATTCCAGGATTATATATATATTTTTTTCAAATTTAGTGCTTCTATTTCTATATTTTATTCTCTCAATCATGTACAATGATCAAGAAGAAAATCATAAGCCTTAATTATCCTCACTTTCTTTATCCAAATTTTGGATGCTATGCTTAATCCAATTTACTTATACAATGTAACAGTATATATTCCCCACTATTAATATCTATCATTCCCTCGCCATCTTTCATAAAATGGTCCTATCCAATTAGACTTTCCAAAAAACCATTTTTTCCTGTTTTAATAAATTGCCACGAAACCAACGTTAAATTCCATCTCTAGAAACACTTCATTGAAACATAGTATGCTTAAGTTGTCTTGCTTGTACATCATTAATATTTCCTCCATACCGTTATTGCTTTCATCCCATCAACCATCTATCATCGTACTTTCAATCAAAAGATTAAGCCTACCCACTTTCATGCCAAATTCTTATTCCAAGTTTATTCTTCTCAACCCATTCTCACACGTCTCACAATCATCTAATAACAAAGCTAACAACACATAAAGCAGACAGCAATTACCACCCCAAAGTTAATGCACATCCCATCAAACATAGCACCCACCTTACACAATGAAGATTATAACATTGCTCATACAAAACCCTCCTGTACCGAGAACAGACAAAACAAAAATACACTCAAACCAACAAATTATCCCCACTCCAAGGCAGCGTAACCTCAATTAAAGCAAAATGCAGAGTACCGTCATCGAGTTCTAATAACAATGCAATATTTGCAGCACAAAACACCATATTCGTAATATCTATTATCAAACAAATAAATAAGGAATGGAGGCACACAACTATCATTTTAAAAAATGGTAGATGTCACCATCATCGCAATTCAACTAGCCAAATAACATACCCATCAATTAAAACCCCAAATAAGCGAAAATCACAAGTTAGCATAATAAGCTACAATTGGATATAATCCCTAAATCTATTCACAAAGTCAAAAAACGAAGCTCATTAAAAGCAACTTACTGGAAAGGCGTTCGCGAGGGTTTTGCAGGGCTTCGCGAAGGAACTGATCAACTTGATTAAGAACGTCGTCGGAGACTTTATCAAGTGACGAAGAAGACGCCAAGGAATTCGAATTCGAACCGGACTCAGTGAGCTGACGGCGGGAGTTCGAATCGAGGATCGAAGAGGAAGAGGAGAGGCCCAATCGGGTCATGGTGGCGTCCAAATCGGCGACCTCCCATGATTCCGGTGCTCCGAGATCATCGGACACAGAGCCCTCCATGAATTGAGAATTAGAGAGAGAGGGCGAGAGGGGAGAGAGATTCTAGGGTTTTGAAGCTGAAGAAGAAATCGATCATTAAAGGAACGAGTGTAGGGAGAGATGATGAGGAAGGGAAAGAGGAAGTGGCAGAGGAGGAAGGAACATACGACGACGTTTCGTGTGGAAGAAGAATATCATGAGGAGGCGTTAGAGAGAGAGGGAGGAGAGGAGAGAGAAAGTGTTTGTAATATTTGACGAGATGATATCTCTATCTACATTCAGAAAGACAAAAAGGCAGATAGGGTTTGAGTTTGACAATGGTGCAAGGAAGCGGGTGGGTCTGTCCGTTGGGCTGGGCTGGGCCTGGATCTAGATCCAGCTCTTAAGATTGATGGGCGTGGTTTGAATTGGGCTTTTATGTCTATATCGGGTCGGCTTTTCCTGTACCCGAATTCGTGTAACAACCTCTATAATCCACCTCCAAGAATCGCAAAACCGCCATTATAACGCAGAGAAAAATAAATTATTAAAAAAAAAAAAAAAAAACACTTTGACGGAGAGAAGTGTTGTGGTTGAAGCGGTGATGAGGGGATTGGCAAGAGTATTGAAGCGAGGTCTGTCTCTTTCGTGTCAACAGCGACGATTAGGTTTCGGCGAAGCGAAAAATGGCTGTTTTATCTTTTCTTCTTCCAAAACGATGTCGTATTTATCAAATTCAATCACTTCTCAAAATTTTACGCTTCTGAAGACTTTCCCTGTTTCGTCTTTTCCATCCGGAAAATGGAACCTTTTTCGAGGTAATTTATTTGGGCTGTTTGCTTTTGTTATTCATCATTTACATGTTGCCAAACGCGGCCTTATGTTTTCATGCTGTATTTCTGCTCGCTTTTGGTTTGATTTGGTTTTCGTTCTGATGCTTGCGGTAGGATTTTTGTTAATTTATTTAAAATTTATATGACATTTAATTAAAAATAGTTTTTTTTTTCTTTTTTTAGTTTAATTTTAAAGGGATACAGAAGAACTTAATAGAATTTGTTTAGCTAGTACCAATTCATCAATACATTCTTAAAAGCGGATATGATTTCTAGGAACAATAGAAAGCTCTTTTCTTGAGATTGTGTTCATACTTCAAACTATATTCTAATNCATTTACATGTTGCCAAACGCGGCCTTATGTTTTCATGCTGTATTTCTGCTCGCTTTTGGTTTGATTTGGTTTTCGTTCTGATGCTTGCGGTAGGATTTTTGTTAATTTATTTAAAATTTATATGACATTTAATTAAAAAAAGTTTTTTTTTTCTTTTTTTAGTTTAATTTTAAAGGGATACAGAAGAACTTAATAGAATTTGTTTAGCTAGTACCAATTCATCAATACATTCTTAAAAGCGGATATGATTTCTAGGAACAATAGAAAGCTCTTTTCTTGAGATTGTGTTCATACTTCAAACTATATTCTAATTTTTCAAAACAGTTTCCGAAATGTGGAGCTCCTTGTATTCTGAATTTGTTATTATTTAAAGAATGTAGAATGGTTTCTTGCTATTATGTATTAAATTTAAATTGGAAGTGAAACACGTCGCTGATAAGATATGGGAAATGTAGAAGTTTGAAATAGCCATTAATTTGATGGTGCTATTGCACAGGGCAGAGAAGGACGATGTTTATACAAACGCAGTCGACACCGAATCCTTCATCTCTCATGTTCTATCCAGGGAAGCCTGTTATGGAGGTTGGAAGTGCAGATTTCCCAAATGCGCGTGCAGCTATGAATTCTCCATTGGCAAAAGCACTTTATGGAATTGATGGTAAGCTTGAACGACGCTCGGCTGCTCATGTTAGTGACTTGAATTTTGCTTATCTTTTTATTTAAAAAAAAAAAAAAATTGGCATTCATGTCTCTTCTTTTTTGAACTGTTTGATGAAGGTCCACATGTTTTCCCCAAAGCCTTGTAGTGGATACCTTGTTTCTGTTAGTGTTAAGATTAATGCCTTGCTTGTCTTCTCTCTTTAGAATTTATATTTGCATTTGAGGTTTAGATTAGAATACAAATAGATGTGCAAACTCTGATATGCATAAGTAGAACAAAATAATAGATAAATGTGAATTGTAAGAGTGCTTGATAGTGGCATAAATGATTAATTTGTCGGTTGCTATGTGAAGACATGGTCCAGTGTTAATTATCCAAGTTTGCCATGTGAATTTATTAATTAGAAGTTTTATAGGTTCCTTCTTGGAGTTTTGAGACTTTAAAGATGACCTAGGAAGCCCAGTCTTAGTGGATTAAACAAAGCTTTATTCTTATGCATTTAGGGGCTGTGTATAAGAACTATTTTCAGAAACTCTGTTTTTTTATTATTAAATCCAAAAACTGTGAAAAATACATGTTTGGTTCTCTTACTATAATAATTTATAGTAAGGCAACCAATTATAGTAATGATGTTGAACTTTTGACTTTGATCAATATCAGAAGCAGAGTGTTTGGAGGCATTAAAGAGACTTTAATATCTAGTCTTAAGTGGTTTTATGTAGAAGAGAGAGTTGTCTATACATTTGTTTGAGAGCACGAGGGAAGTAGTTGTTGAAGACTACTGGGTTTTGTTGCCCTATGTTTCTTTCTTGAAACGTTTTGCANAGTGTTAATTATCCAAGTTTGCCATGTGAATTTATTACTTAGAAGTTTTATAGGTTCCTTCTTGGAGTTTTGAGACTTTAAAGATGACCCAGGAAGCCCAGTTTTAGTGGATTAAACAAAGCTTTATTCTTATGCATTTAGGGGCTGTGTATAAGAACTATTTTCAGAAACTCTGTTTTTTTATTATTAAATCCAAAAACTGTGAAAAATACATGTTTGGTTCTCTTACTATAATAATTTATAGTAAGGCAACCAATTATAGAATGATGTTGAACTTTTGACTTTGATCAATATCAGAAGCAGAGTGTTTGGAGGCATTAAAGAGACTTTAATATCTAGTCTTAAGTGGTTTTATGTAGAAGAGAGAGTTGTCTATACATTTGTTTGAGAGCACGAGGGAAGTAGTTGTTGAAGACTACTGGGTTTTGTTGCCCTATGTTTCTTTCTTGAAACGTTTTGCAGCTACCAGGATTGGATAAATTTTTTCTATATTGAGTCACCTATATAACCTACAGGTTATGCATTGATGAAGATACCTTGAGGCAAAAAAATGTGATAAATTTGTTCTATATTGAGTCACCTATATAACCAACAGGTGAAGCATTGATGAAGATACCTTGAGGCAAAAAATATGTACTTTTATTTGGTGGATTCCGTTGGTTTCAACCAGATTTTGAATTTTTTTTTTTTTTTCATTCCAAAACACATTAGTTGTTAAAAGAATTGATAACCCCAAACTTGTTTAAGGTGGACAAGTGACTACTAATTTTTCTATCAACTTTTTTTTTTCTTTTCAGTTTTTCATGTTTATTTAAATGTTTGTAATCAGTAAAAAATTATATATTTTGTCTTGTTATCATTGTCCTTGGTGATTATTTACTTGAATTATGAAATAATCAGTAGGGTAAACCTTTTTTTATTTCGATACAGGTATTACTCGAGTGTTCTTTGGTTCAGATTTTGTCACAGTAACAAAATCAGATGATGTTTCTTGGGATATCCTTAAGCCTGAAATTTTTGCTGCAATCATGGACTTCTATTCTTCGGGGCAGCCCTTGTTTCTAGACTCAGAAACTGCTACAGCCAAGGACACTGCTATTCATGAAGTATTTTCGAACTTCTTTAGTTTGCATTTTTGAGTTGTTGAATCCTGCTTGCTAACAAAATGATTATATTTAAGTGTCTTTTTTACCTTCATCATCATCGTTAAAACTTTTGAGAATGAGTATTGCTTTAATGATTATGATGCTATCTTTGCTGTTGCAGGATGACTCAGAAACTGTTGCAATGATCAAAGAACTGCTAGAGACTCGTATTCGGCCTGCAGTGCAAGATGATGGAGGAGACATTGAATACTGTGGATTTGATCCGTAGGTTTTCCGTTTTCCTTCATCTGGTTACAGTAATATATTTAACATTTGAGAATTAATTTTATACATTGTTTTTTTCATTCATCTGGTTACAGTAATATATTTAACATTTGAGAATTAATTTTATGCATTGTTTTTTTTCATGCTTGCTAATTGGCATTAATTGAAGTTTACTGTCTATATGCCCCAGTGAAACTGGAGTTGTCAAATTGAAAATGCAAGGAGCATGTAGTGGCTGCCCGAGTTCATCTGTCACATTGAAATCTGGCATAGAAAATATGCTGATGCATTATGTACCTGAGGTAACATGTGATAACCTTGGTTTTGTATTGTAGTTTTGTGCATTTTTTGTCAGTCTTATCTCTGTACGATTGTGTTATGCAAAGTTTTTAAGGTTGGGCCTATACTCATGAAAGAGCCCAAACAAGATTTTTTACTAAAAAAGTTGGTGTTTGGAAAATCAATTCTTCTAGCTTGTGTAGTATGTTGGTGAGAGTGGCTTTAGGTTTCAGGTACCTATCACATATTCCCCTTGAACTGGGGATTTTTGCACATTTAGCTATCTTTTTTTTTTTTTATTCTTTTGAGCTATCTTGAACTACTATTGTATAATCTATTGGACCGCTATTCACCTTTTCTGCAAGTATTTTATTTGGTGAATATGTCAATCATTTTCTGGTTTAAAAAAGAAAATTACACTGGTTTAACTTTTTTCACTGTACTCTTAAATAACTGAGTGATTATGATAAACCTTTTGGCAAAAAAAGTGTGGATGACCAAAGGGATGGATCTAATTATATGGATCATGGTTTAACCAAGAGGTAAGATGTTCAAATTCTCTTGGGGTCATCTATCTATGAATTTTTGGTCCCAATCCAGTGCGATGCCAGGGGATTTTCAGGGTAAAAAAAGAAAAAAGAAGAAAGAAACAAGAAACAGAAACTTATTGATAATAACCTATATGTGTGCTTGCAATTGATTTCTTATTCTACATCTCATACCCTATAATTTGTAGGCATAACATGCATGCTGTGTTCTGGTGGAGGCATGCACATGACTTTATGTGCATAACAATTTCTTTGTTTGCAGATGTAATTACATCTCAGGATTTTGGGTTGAAAGTATATGTCCTTGTTTTTTATGTCTATCTGCCTTATCTCAGTAGTTAGCCTATGCTTTTGCCTTGGCCAACCATTATTTGTGACACAAGCTAGTCTTTTGCTGGGTGATTGCATGGAAATTTAGCTCTTGGCTTTTCTTATTGCTTACAGAAATTTTCTGCTTATACAGGTTAAAGGTGTAGAGCAAGAATTAGATGCTGAAGATGAGGAGGCAGCACTAACTGGCCAGATGCAGTAGTCGAGCCTTTTAATATTTTTCCATTGCATAGTGTACTCTGATTAATAGCCGGATGGATAAGGTCTCTGATATGCCTTCCTGTACAGGAGCAAATAAAGATTGTGGGCTGATGAACTTTATTTACAAGTACAGGTATTTTATGTTGTTCCTGTCAGCCAATTGCAGTGGATAGGGCTTGGGTGCTGTATGATTTGTATCTCTAGTGACAAAAATTGTCTGGCGTTTCTGTAATCACTAATTATCTTTGTGGGGCACATAGCTACCAAAATTTAGGATCCGAAACTCATTGTTTTTGCACTATCCATATCATATAGATGAATAAAAATTATTTGATGGATTGGTAGTTGCAACTACCTGATCAGTTGGACGCTTGCCTTAAACTTCGTGCCCATTTTTTAGCATGATTGATGAGAGTGAGACCTTCCCTGTACTATCCCATGTTGTCAGAATATAACTAAGGTGTTTTAAGTTAATTTATCAAACTTTAACTAATTTTGTAAGTCTATTAAACATCTTATTAGCTCAATATTTCAGGTAAATTATAAATGTAATAAGTGGTTTTAAAGTAATTTGAACTTAGGAAGTCAATAAAGAAAGTAAATTTTCTTTAACCATCAAGTCGATTTTTTGGGGTTAGTTAGAAGTCGTATTATGATTACTGCATCCTGGTTCTGTCATCTTATGCTGTTGCTAGTGGCGTTGATACTAGTTTATATCTAGCTTTTGATTCCTATTATGCACGAGTTTATTGGATGTGGGTGGATTTAGTTTATTCTAGTGTAATGCACATAGATTGTGAAGGCACGTTATTTTAAGTAGTTTTGGGAGTCAAGGAAAAAGGGTTGCGGTTATAATACAGTCGTGTAAAAGTGCATATTACAAATTTTACTTTTTTGGTTTGCAAGTTTAATGTTGATTCCATCCAGATAGTGGCTTAATGACACTTTCTTACCTCTAAAACTTTAAAATACATTTTCTCATTAAAAAAATACATTTAATGAACTTTTCATTGATCACCAATTTGGCCGATTCTAACATCGTTGTAATCTCACATTATCATCATTTTTTTCCGGTTAACACTCATCTAAATCTTACTCCCATGACGTTACATATCGTCAGCAATGAACATTATGGTTTGCACAACCTTCTCCCAAGTCAAATTTTACTAATTACGATCACCAATCACATTTACCAAAAAAGACTCATCTCTCATCTTCAAAAGCCTCCAAAAAAATGAATCGAGTTTACTCTTCGTTCGCCGCCAATAAAAGCTTATCTTTGGGTGAGAAATTGATATTTAAAAGTGGAAAGTAAGTGTCATTGGAAAAGTCGTTAACTCATAGAAAACCTAGGAAAAAAGATTAATTTATATTCCTCATTATAGACTTCATCAATTGCACTTCATTAACATAAATTTCAAATACACTTCATCATAGATATTTGTATATTTTAACAACCTTAAATTATTAGAATTATTACAAACCTTCTTTAAAAAGTCCAAGATTTTGCCGCTGAAATTTAAAAACTTCCCTTAAAAGGGAGGTTTTTCTAATTTTTTCATGCTAAAAGGTGGGTCGGACGGACAGTGTTAGATATTAACAAAGTTTATTATTTACTAATTTCTTCTTTAATTATATTTAATGAGCTTAAATAGCATTAATTATCTTACTCATGGGTGATCATTTATTTGGTTATGATTATTATCTTATCTATGATAGTCTAAATCTTAAACTTAACCATATTAGATGATTTGATGATTAAAAGATAAAATGAGATTTTATGAGTTAGCGGGTTTGACTTCTCTCAGACATTAATAAAGATAATCATTAAGGTTCTTATACGATTGACAATTTCAAGAATTCGAATGATTAGTTAATATACGTATAACTGGTATTTGGTGATAAAAAAAAAAAAAAAAAAAAAAATTCTCACACTCCGGGGACCATGCCCGGCTGTGTGATCTCACTTTTACATGATAAAATAAGTAAATTGTTACTGATTACAAGGCATAATCATATAATTTAGAATTGGTTAATCTAATCATAATTGTTTTTGGATTAAGTTTAAAGTAAAAGAATCTGTTTTTCTTTAACGTAAACGTCCATCTCCATCACTTTCTCCCTCGCCCAAATTTTCTGGTAAGAGTCATCAAACTGACTTTCTCCTGACTACCGACAACTTCATAATTTCTACTCGATTTTATTTTAATAAAAGAGTATTTATTATTTGGTAGGTAAGATAATCTGTCACATCTAATTTATAAGAGACGTCCTCGCCACAATATCCCAGGGAGGGTCCCCAGTTTCTTCATCCATGGCTTCATTGATTTTATAATTAACAGATTATGTAAATTTAAGAGAATAAGTCTTAATAGTTGATCAAAACCTGACCGTCTTTTTCTCTTTCAAGGCTATCCATGGAGATAATTTGAAATCACCATGCCTATTTTATATTTATTGAGGTTTTTTATTTTTTTTTATCATTAGAGGTGTTTGAGTCAGTTTACGTGTATTTTAACTAATGTTTTAGGATTTTAAAATTATCGATCGAGTAAAAATTTCAGTGACTATTCTTATCAATGCCTGAAAAAACTTAAATTCAGAAACTTATAAAATCTTTTTTTACTTTTTTACTATTAGATCATTTAATGATGGTTAATTATCAATGTTTTACATACACACCCCTAAGGTTTAGTTAAAAAAAAAGTAAAAAAAAAAAAAACCGACTGGTTTCAGAGTGGAACATTTACATCTTTATAGTTAGTTTATAAAAATAACTATTATAAACCTAAAATAGAAAACACAACGAAAGACAAGATTTTTATTTCCCAGACGTCTTATCGAATAACCAAAGTTTAATATTTTAAAATTTTTTAACATATATAATATTGTGTTAATCTTTTTATTATAGAAGAAAAGACAAAATAAAAGTATATTAGTTGTTGTATCAAGTTTTTTTTATTATATTATCAATTTAGCCCTTAAAATAGTTACTCTTTAAACTTAAATTTTTCTTTTGGGTATCTGGGATGTTCGGACCAGCTTACGTGTTTATCTCAACTATTTTTTTTAAGACCCTGAAATTAATGGGCAGATAAACATTCAGTGACTACCTCTTATTAGTAGTCGTGAAAATTCGAACTTAAAACCTTTTGATACATCTAAGGCGGTGTTTGATTGGGGGTTATCTGGGATTACTAAGGTTAAGTCATCTTATATTACTTGATTACCATGTTTGGTTGTCAAGTAATATAAGATACTGATAATCTTCAAATACTAATAGTGGTTACTATTGATAATATTGGAGGTAATCTGATTACCTCCATTTTCTTAGGTATTATAAGATTATTAGAGTTATCTTTTTTTTGTTACAATTCTATTCCTTATTAATAAAATTTTAGGACTATAATGCCCTTATTTTTGAATTTATTTACATGAATATGGTTTTTACCATTTCACCCAAATTAATTAATTTTTTGGACAAAATTACCCTTAAATTAAAAGCAAATTATAGCCCACCCAGGCCACCACCCCCACCCACCTGCTGCCGGCAACCACCGCCGCGGCCAACCGCCGGAACGACGCACGGAAGACTGAAAATGGTCGTCGTGTGTCGATATGGCCATTTTCGGCCAAATAGTGCCAAATTTGGTCGAAAATGGCCATACGGTGCACGGAGGCCATTTCCTGCCTTCCGTGCGCTGTTAGATTGCCAGCGGCCTGCGGTGGTTTCCAACGGTCGGCAGTGGTTGGGTTGGTGGGGGTGCTTTGTTGATTTTTCAAACTTTTATTATGGGATAGTTTTTGCTAAGTTTTTAAATGTAAGGTGGTTATATATAATAATCCAAATAATAATCAATATTAAAAAATAATATTTAATTAGAAGACAATTCAGTAATTTAAATAACATACCTACCAATTTATTCCTCCAAACTAAATATATTAATATAACATACCCATCAATTAACCAAACATATTTTCTTAAAGATTTTCATGAATCATTAAGGTAATCCAACATTCGTAATAATCTAATATTTTCTTAATCAAATATCTTCTAAGAGTCTCAAATAAACCGTCAAACTAGTTAAACTAGTTACCTAAATATTCAATTCTAAGACCGACGAATCTTTTTATTTCTTTCGCAAAATCTGCGGGTTGCGGGTTGCCTTAAAACACTGAAAGTTCCTCGCACCAAAAATTGGGGAAATGTTATTATATGATAAGGTCTGATGACTGATACATTGAAGCTGGATGCCGTATGTATAAATTGACTTGACCAATTATATAAGTAGATAATTTGAAATTGACACTTATGGCCTTTACATTTTACGTATAATTATCCCATTCACCTCGATAAAGAAAAAGTAACGTTTGGAGGTTATATAATATGTATTTAATTTAACGTTAAATCATATATAAAAACTCTTTTTCATCTCAGAATATCTAAGAAAAAAAAAGAAGGAAAAAAGGTAAAAATCTACGACAGAAATCCACTAAGACAGTAAGCCTGAGTCATCTTGGATAAGAAGAAGAAGGTGGCAGCAAAAGTGGTAAAACAAGACACAAAACACAAGCAAGAAGAGCCATGACACACGTCAACACGCGCACTTGTCTTCTCCTACACATTTCTCCACATGAACTCCCGCTTTATCGCTTTTTTACGTTCCTATAAATAGTGAACTCTCAACCTACCAGTCAAATTCATTTTCATCCCACCTTCTTTGTCTCCTACAACAAACACTAATAATACAACCAGCATTAAATTCAACTCCTCTTTCTTTCCTTATCCTTTGTCCTTCTAACTTGTTCAGTTCTTCATCACTTTCTTTATTATCTAAACGACAACAACATTCTGGTGATTGAGTTTTTTCAACTGGGTTGACACCAATGGCCTGGAAAAATTGTGGGTTCTGGGAATTGAGACCTCTGGTTCACTTGTTGTTTCCGCTTTCTATCCATTGGATTGCTGAGGAGATGACCGTTTCTGTTCTTGTTGATGTTGTTACTAATGCTTTGTGTCCCGGGGAGTCCACTTGTTCTGAGGCTATTTACATTAGTGGCCTTCAACAAACAGTAAGGAATTGAATTGAATTCATGTTTTTGTTTATGCATGAGCTTTCCTGTGTTTGTTTTTGTCTCCTTTTTAGTCCTTTTGTTTGTTTCGTTTGTGAGAAAATGGAGGAAAATGAGCAGTAATGTTAGGGGACAAAATAGTTGAATTATGAACTTTTTTGGTTTGTAAGTTCCACATTTGAGATGTTTTGCTATCTGGGTTTATGGCAAGTTTCAGTAAGCTTGATTGCTTGATGTGACTGATGGAGCTGTTTAAGCTTTATTTGGTTTGTGAGAAAATGGAACAATTTAAATGTAAAGGGGTTGTTGATTCCTGTACTTTTAGTTTATAAGGTTTGAAATTTGAGATGTTTTACTATCTGGGTTTTTTTGTGGAAAAAAGAAAAAATGGAAAAAATGAAGCTTTGTATTGCTTGATTGAGACTGATGAAGCTGCTTAGGTGAAGTGGGCTTGAAGGTTTCTGGTTTTTCTAATTTACTTTCTTGTGTTTTCTTGGAGACCAAACAGAGTGCTCTTTTTTACTTTCCTAACAGAGTGTTTTCTTGAAAATTGGCTGGTTCCTGCATCTTGAAAATTGGCTATTTACATTAGTGGTCTTCGACAAACGGTAAGAAATTGAATTGAATTCCTGTTGTTGTTTATGCATAAGCTTTTCTGTGTTTGTGTTTGTGTTTGCCTCCTTTCAGCCCTTTTGTTTGTTTGGTTTGTGAGAAAATGGAGGAAAATGAGCAGGAATGTATAAGGGTCTGTTCAATTCTGGGCTTTTTTGGTTTGTAAGTTCGAAATTTTAGATGTTTTGCTATCTGAATTTCTGGCAAATTTCAGTAGCTTTATTGCTTGATGTGTCTGATGGAGCTGTTTAAGCTCTGTTTTGGTGAAGTGGGCTTGAAGGTTTCTGGTTCCTATTTTACTTTTTCTTTTGTTTTCTTAGAAACCAAACAGAGTGTTCTGTTTTACTTTCTTGACAGAAGTGTTTTTCTTGAAAATTGGCTGGTTCCTGCATCTTTTGCTTTCATAATTCTTCAGTTGATCATGATAGCTGCATACTTTTCTGAGAGGTGAGAGAGCCCTTTTTGTTTTTTTATTTCTTCTTTTTTGTGGCTCAAATTCTGAGAAAGCTTTAGATTCTAATTTCTGCTAAGGAATGATATTTTTTTCTCATAATCCCTCGCATTTTTTCTTGAGTAGCGTCCAACTTCTTCAGTTTCGTCTCATCAATAATTGAATTGGAGATAGGGATTAATTAATATCTTTTCTGAACAAGTTAACATCAAACTTTATTTTTAATTTTAGAAGATAATTGGTGACAAGTGAGCTGGAACCAACTGAGATTGATGAAAACGACCTATAATCTAAAATTGTTAATGTTCAAGTTTTCTTTGGGTTAGCCTATCAACAAGGGCAGTTTCATTTGTCTGAATTATTAATATTTAATGACATTAACTTAAGAACCGACAGCGGATTTGTATGATTATTGACAAATATATGCTCTAGGAGCTACAGGAAGCATAAGAAAAGTTGATTTCTTGATTACTAGAGTGAATATGTGATCCAATAAACAGATTAAGTTTATGCTATATAGAAACTTTAGAGTTAAGCAATGTGCTATTTCACTAGAAAAAGTTTTTGATTCCATGCGCGCAAAAGTTTAAATGAGGATTTTATTCTATTTTAAGTTTGTTTACAAGGTAGATTTTCTAAGTCTGGTGAGATGGTGCTTTTGGTTAGCTTTTGTGAGCCATTTTAGGCTAAGCATAAGCAGAAATTTTACTGGATTTGCTCCTAAATATATGCTAAAAAAAGGAAGAAAGGTAAATATGTTGGGATCACTGATTCACTGTTGAAGTGGGCTAGTTAATATGATGACATGATGAATGTTTTGCATACTATCGTGCTTGTGTGGGATTTAGATGAGTGGAATATTTCCTTGCTTGAGACTACATATTTTTATTGAAGCAAGTATGGGTCCCAAAGATACCAAGTTTGTGGCTTGCTAAATTCTTTAGCACAACTTATTTGTCTGTTGCTATAACTTTAGCTTTTTCCTTTGCTATTTACTAAAGAATGGGACTCATGATTATTGCTTTAATTTTACTGTTAATAGGTCATATAAAGTTATAAAATGTGGGACAGGAGACTATTTAGGACATGAATTTGGTAAAGAATTTCAGTAAGGGGGAATGGGAACGATAATAAAATGGTCCAGGTCACTAATTGCTATTCTCCTACTGATTTTCACACGCTGATGCCATTATTTACCTTTATTTCACAGTTGCTTGAAAACATTGACGATGAACCTGGTATTTAATCTCGAATTTTCTAATGCATTTAAACATTAGGCTTTATGGTGGTTCTGTTTATCAATGTGGTATACTATTTAGATAGTGTACTGGGAATGCCGCAAAAGAAGTAGTTGATAACAGGATGCTATGGTAGATGTTCATGACACTGAATAACTATGATATCGAATTATGTTAATGATAAACTAAAAGAATAAATTCCTCTTTTATTTTGTTCAAAGAAACAATCCTCACGCATTCTTCTGTCTCTAGGTTGTTGGAATTTTCAAGATGGTCGTACTCCCACTTCTAGGCCAGCTTGCAGATGAGTATGGGCGTAAACCACTGCTCATTCTTACTGTCTCCACCACTATTATCCCTTTCAGTAAGTTGCACAAGCACATTTTTCCAGATTCATTACACTTACATAATGCTGTGAGAATTTTTCTTGTTGATAACTTAAAATTGATGATATGAAAATGAATTTTTATTGGGGGGCAGGGCGAAGGGATGGGGGATGACATTTGTTCCAAGGTTGAAAATCAGTTAATGCCGGTGTTTTCTTTAAGTAAATAAAATAGGAGATATCAATTGATGTGATGGTTTTTCACTGACCTTTCACCTGAAACTGAAAATTAAGTTTTCCATTTTTGGATCAGTGAATTTTTAATCATATATTTTCACTAAAGTTCATTCTAATTACTCAGGTATATTAATCAGTGATATATCAGCTACTCCAGTATTGTGCAGTGTATAAATGATACAATCAAGATTGTGCTTTGTATTTACACCTTTCTTCTCTTGGTTGTGCCTTTTCAGCTTTACTTGCTATTAATGAGTCCAAAGATTTTGTGTACGCTTATTATGCACTTCGAACAATATCATATATTATAAGCCAAGGGAGCATCTTCTGCATCGCTGTTGCTTATGCAGTAAGAATTATTCATCCTAATTATTGTGCTTGCGGATGGAGAATGTTATATTTCACATTTTTGCTTCCCTCTGCCAGGCAGATTTTGTGAGCGACAGCAAAAGAGCTGCAGCCTTTAGTTGGATTACAGGCCTGTTCTCTGCGTCTCATGTCTTAGGAAATTTATTGGCTTTGCTCCTTCCTGAGAACTGCATTTTCCCCGTATGTTACTGCTTTAAATTTAGCATTAGCCTCAGTTATTTATTTTTTAATTATTTATAGGGTCATTTTTAATCTTTTTTCGTTATGGTTCTGTTTCAGGTTTCAATAGCTCTCTTGATCTTTTGTCCTGTTTACATGTATTTCTTTCTGGTTGAGACAGTTGAATCTGCACCCAGGAGACACCAAGAATCAACTTTCTTGCAGAAGGTAGTTATGGTCCTCAAAAATAGATACAAATCAATGCGAGATGCTGCATTGATAGTTGTTGGCAGGTATTTCTACCTTCATGTTTTATGCTGATAACATTTGGATAACAATATTTCTGTCAAACGATTAACATATATTCTTTACCTTTTTCTTTATTTAAGGATTCTTATGATGCCAAAAACTTTATTTCGTATTCTGGTTAATGAGCTCCATTTCTTTTTCTCTTTTCCTCCTGCTTTTTCAGTCCAACACTCAGAGGAATTTCTTTTGTTTCCTTCTTTTACGAGTTGGGAATGTCCGGCATCACTACTGTCTTATTTGTAAGTTACTATAAATTTAGTAAATACTATCTTATTCATCTTTAGTGCGAATTTGATATAGGAATCCTTCATGGATCAAGGGGTAGTTAAAATAGAAATTTAATGCTTCTCAATTGACACATGACAGGATGCTTGGCTTATTTTATGCCTTGAAAATAAAGCATTAAGCCATTTAACTAAAACAAGCTTAACGTTCACAGTTGGAAAAAAATAATTATTCCTGAGAAGTGCAGTCTTCCTGATAGGTAAAACCTAGTGCTGTGCAAACAAGAACAATGATCTTACTTCAACTCTTATGTTAATAAAAAGATTACAGAAATGAACATTTTCGTTTTCTTTCCTACAGAGTCGCTTCTTTGAGAATTTTTGAGACAAGAACTGCTTTGTAACTAAGCATTGCCATCATATCATAGTAACATGGTTGGTGTTCTGTATTTGGACACGATCTGGCTAATATAATGAATAATAATGACGTGTGAAATTTGTCTAAACTTGTATACATTGATGTTTGACTCAGTATAACTACTTGTGCAGTATTATTTGAAGGCAGTTTTTGGTTTTAGCAAGGATCAATTTTCAGAAATTTTAATGATGGTCGGAGTAGGTTCCATTGTATCGCAGGTATTTGCTTCTGTAGAGCTTATTCTGTTCTGCTCTTTAATAAATGTCTACTACATACTTCTTCAATCATTGACAGAACATTCTCATTACTTAACATAGTTTTCTTGTTTATGGCTGTTCACTGAGAAAAAAAAAAAAAAAAAAAAACAAGTAGAAAAGAGGAGTAGTCTTGCTTACCATAGTTTTTTTCTACTTTATTTTATACTAGCTTGTGGTGCTCCCTCTTCTCAATCCTTTGGTGGGAGAAAAGGTGATACTGTGCATAGCCTTGCTTGCATCAATAGCATATGTAAGTGGCCTCACTCTATCAGCAACAAGAGGAAAACAATTTTTTGTTTTATTAAAGAGAAGGAAAATCTAACGATTTGCTTTTTCGGTACAGGCATTGTTCTATGGCTTGGCATGGGCATCTTGGGTATGTATTCTTCATTTTCTTTAAATTTTTTATTCTCTCATGAGAGTATAATTTGTTCTAGTTAAGATCACAGGTCGGATGCTTTCATGGAACAGTCTAGGTTTTAGTTTTTTCTCGTACGCTTTAATGGTTTACTCTTACAAACTTGGTAGTTTTGTTCTTTGCGAAAATCTTATATGAATGTGACAATTTAGGCTATTTTCTGTATTGTTCCTCAACTTCTAGAAAATAAAATCTTTGATTAGAAGAATTACACCATGACAACCTTTTTCAAGAGATGAACGCCTTAGGGTTTATAGTTTTGTCATCATGTTGAAGTTCCATAAAAGTTTCTTTAACATCAATAACAGCAAGTCATTCCATACTGCAGGTGCCTTACCTAAGTGCCTCATTTGGTGTCATTTACGTCCTTGTGAAACCTTCTGTAAGTATTATCACACTTCAATTTCTATTTCCATTTCTGTAAACATTAGCAATAGTACCCAAGTCTAACAAAGAAATTCCCCGAGTCCATTTTTAACTGTCGTCTTGCTATCAATTTTTGGTTATGCAGACTTACACCATCATTTCAAAGGCTACAAGTTTAAACAATCAGGTTTATGGAGTATCTCATACTATGCTTTCTTTGGCTTTAATGAATACACATATCTGCACTCCCATGTTTAATATTTCTCTTACTGCGATTAGCATTTCCATATAAAACCTCTTTTGCTAATGATTGTTTGTAACAGGGAAAGGCACAAGGATTTATTGCTGGTGTACAATCAATAGCAAGTTTGTTATCTCCACTTGCAATGAGTCCCTTGACTTGTAAGTTTTAACTTCTCACTGTTTTGAGTAAATACCAAAACCAAAGTAGACCATATTGCTTCATTTCTGAAATTGTTTATATGATCATCAGCATGGTTCCTTTCGAGTGATACCCCTTTCAACTGCAAAGGTTTCAGCATTGTTGTTGCATCTATATGCATGGTAATTTACGACTCCTCTCTTCGTCTCTTCATTCTCTTGCCCTCTCTCTTTCTTCTTTCTCGTTCGCCTAACTGATTGAACATTTTAATTTTCTCAGATGATCGCATTGTGCTATGCTTTCACGCTCAGAACAGAAGATAATTCAGGCAGTGACAAAGAGGAAGATATTGAAACACCACTTTTAACTTGAAGCTAATTGTAGTTACCCAATTCAAGTAGTTTGTTGTAAGATAGTGTTATGAGGGTTGACTTGTAATTTGTAAATATTAAATTTTCTTCAATCCTAGTAAAGTTACGGTGTGTTTGTTTTAGTATTTAGAATTGTATTTTTGAAATATTAAGAGTTGGGTGAGAATAAGATTTAAAAATTAACAAAATATCTCTTAAGTTTGTTAATTTATTAAACACCTTTGAAATAAAAACATTAAAAATTATAAAAACATCTCATTCACCCATTAGGTTTGTTAATTTATTAAACCGAGATGGCTTTTTCTAGCTAGATCTAGTCGCGTTTAACGGCCATATCTTGGCCGTCGTTGACAGCTAGCTACTGTCAAAGATTTGGTCGTCAACGGTCACATCTCTAGCTGTAGATCTGACTTTNTAACTTGAAGCTAATTGTAGTTACCCAATTCAAGTAGTTTGTTGTAAGATAGTGTTGTGAGGGTTTGAGTTGTAATTTGTAAATATTAAATTTTCTTCGGGTGTGTTTATTTTAGTATTCAGAATATTATTTTTGAAGCAGTAAGAGTTAAGTGGGAATAACAAGGTAGGATTTAAAAATTACAAAAACACCTCCTAGGTTTGTAAATTTACTAAACACCCCTTAAATAAAAACATTAAAAATTACCTAAACATCCTCACCCATCCATTAAATACCGGTCACCATCGGAGGATGGTTGGAGTCGTATCGGTGCACGACCAGCTAGATATGGTCGGTCATGCACCGAGATGGTTTTTTCCAGTCAGATCTAGTTGCGTTTGGTCATCAACGACGGTCATATCTTGGCCGTCGTTGACGACTAGCTACGACCAGATCTTTGGTTGTAGATTTGGCCTTTTCCGGCCAAATCCACAATAGATCTGCCCGAAAAAAGCTATATCGGCACACTACTGGTTAGATCCAACTGTTAATGCATTATACCATATTTTGGCCACCTTCTGACGGTGGTGGTCGAAATCTGGCAAATGTGAGTGATAGAGGTGTTTTTGTTAAATTTTAAACTTTTTTTGGGAGTGTTAAATTAACAAACTTAGGGAATAGCAGGAACATGATAAGGGAAAATATTGAAACAAACGGACCTACATATGCAGTTTTCCAATAAAACTACATCAGTTGTCACTAAAGTCAGAGAGGAAAAAAAAAAGCTTAGTTGAATACTAACTTAAAGTACGCAGAATCTCAAGCAAGAAACATCTACATAATGCAAAGAATAATACCACAAACACATAAAACGAAAATTAAAAAAAATTAACCAACTCAGGAGTAGTTGAGTGGTTCGTTAGGGAGTTAGAGATTCTTCGATGTATTATTCAAGAGGTTCTGAGTTTGAATCACTTCTCAATTTTTAATAGGAATGGTTACTGGAATTCTTACTTGGCCAGTGGGCTTAGGGTCTTGAGGGATTCTCTAATCATAAAAAAAAAAAAAAAAAAAAAANGTGTTGGATCCGCCCCTGATTAATGATTATAATGAATCCAAATATCAAAATGATAATTATAATACATTATACATATATATAAATATATTATATATTAATAGTATAATATTATGTATTATTGTGTTAAGTAATAAATATTAACATATATAATATCTCTTTAATATATAATGTATTACATATGATACATTATACATATGTATTATAATAAATTTTAAATAAATTTTAATATACATTATACTCATGAGTAGTTGAGTGGTTCATTAGGGAGTTAGAGACTCTTAAGTATATTATTTAAGAGATTCTAAGTTTGAGTTACTGTTCAATTGTTAATAGGAGTGATTATTGGAACTCTTACTTGGCCAGGAGGTTTAGGGTCCCACGGGATTCTCTAGTCATAAAAAAAAAAAAAAAAGAATTAATTTTTTTTTCTAAGATAGTGTATGTTATCTAAATACAAGTTGTCGGCTCTCAAAATTACATTAAAAAAAATGATTTATTTCGATAATTCTTAATATTACACATATCCATTCATATATAAAAGTATTAAATAGTATCCTATAAATGGGGTTTTGAGGTTTTTAACGGGTTATTGTTGTTTTCAAAAGATTTTTTTTTTTTTTTTTATATTTTAAAGAGGTTTTTTGATAATGTATTAAACTATTATATGAAATAAATAAAAGGAGAGGTAAAAGGCCAAAAAGGCAAATTACCATTAAAACCCTTAAATATACGAATTTATAGAGTCCACAGCTTTTAAAAACTGACAATGGGACCCTTAGTTAGTTACTACAAAACAAACAGATTAGTAAAACTAGCAACCCAAAAGGAAAATATCAGGTAAATTCTCAATGAACCCATATAATTTGAGCCCTAACAATGGCACCCTTAAAGCTTTAACAAATAAACGGATTATATAGTTAAGTAGAAAGATGGAAGCTCTGTGATAAAACCTTAAAGAACAGACATGGAAGCTCTGTCTCTCTCAGCTACCACCAGCAGCATCACCATTTCGCTGAACCTCCCAATCAAACCCTGCAAAACCCATATCCAAACTGCATTTACAAGCTTAAATTTCTCCACTTCACATGGTAACAAGACTCGCTCAACTCATTCTTTCTTTTCTTCACCTTTCAATTCTAAATCAGCAGGTAAAACAAGCTTAAATTTATCCAGTTCAACAACAGCAACTACTCCTTTCACTTCTAATTCTTTGTCGTCCACTGAGACTGACCGGCGCCATTGGATGGTGCTCATGGAGAGACCATCAGAGGGGCTTAAGACTAAGCCAGAAATCGTTAATTACTATGTCAAGACTCTTGAGAGAGTTTTAGGCAGGTGGGTTTGGTTTAAATGTTTCGTTTTGACAGCCGTTATTGCTTATTTTCTTGGTTCTGTGTTTGAACTTTGTTTTCTTTGTGTTTTTGTGCAGTGAAACGGATGCTCAAATGTGTATATATGATGCTTCTTGTGATACCCATTTCGGTTTTTGTTGTGATATTAATGAAGAAACTTCTCGTCTGCTCGCTCGTACGTGTTTTCTTCTCTCTGTTATGTGAAAATTCAGGCAATACTTTACCGTAAGAAAGTGTCATTTGAGTTGTTTTGAGTTCTTGTTTTATTGTTAATATATTGGAGTCTTTCAATTTTTCTGTGTGTAGAGCAATTGAGGTATCAAAACTAGCTTTGAGTGCCTTGTCCTTGTTTTAATTGTTCATTTTTATTTTTTATTGTAGGTTTGCCCGGGGTTTTGTCTGTTAGGCCTGACCCAGATTATAATTCTATGGAAAAAGATTATAGTTGCTCAAATAGCCAGTTGAGTAATCTACCAAATTCACAAATTGGAACTACACTATTGTTTCCTGCGAGAAATACGAAACGCTGGCTTGTTCGAATGGACAAGCCAGGGGTTGGTGTTGTTACAAAGCCACAGATGGTCGATTTTTATGCTCACATACTAACCAAGGTTTTGGGGAAGTAAGTATAAATCGATATTTATTGACATCACTTCGTTTCTCTCCACCCTGAAGGCAAAGTCTTGATTTTTATGCAGTGAGAAGGATGCACAAATGTGTATATACCACGTTTCTTGGCAATCCAACTTTGGGTTTTGTTGTGAACTTGATGAGGAATGTGCAAAGGAACTTGCTGGTAAGCATGTTTTTTTCTCAATAACCCACATTTGTGATATAAAATAAAATGTAGCTTGAGTACGTCTGTTGTCTATTTCCAGGTGTCCCAGGTGTTTTGTCTGTCCAGCCACAGCCAGATGAGAATTTTGGTTCAGAAAATAAAGATTATGTAGGTTTGTGACTTTGCTTAACTTTCTCACATCTGTCTCCTAACTAGCTTAAATTCGTCATCTCTTAAGGTTGTTTGACTATTTGTTTATTGAATCCTGATGTCACGAATGGTTTCAAGTCTAAACCAATTATGTCTGGAAAAATTTGGGTTTTTGATTATGATGCTTGACTGACCTTCTATTGTAAAAGAAATATATGACAGCTCTATGATATGAAATGGCTCTGCAAACTACAATGTAGAGGTTTAAATGCTCTACTTGAATACACTGCTAGTGCTCAGCATAAGCAATGTGTGCACTCTTGGTCAATCTAAATCTGCACATCTTGATTAAAACATGGAGCACATCTTCTATCACATCAAGAATCATCTGGGTGTCCTACTGAGTCATGAGTTTAAGGTTATCCAGTCTGTCTTCTCCATCTACTGCTCCTAGCCAAGCAGTCCTAGCTTGAACCTCATGATTTTCCATCTGCGACCTTGTAACCCTTTCTAAATTCAGCTGCTACTTCCCTGTGGTCTTTGAGTAACTAAGCTTTCTGCTATTCTACCAACCTGAACTTTGATGTTCCCTCTTGCTGCCTGCAGCTTATAAATCCTTCTAGTTTGGCTACTGCTCTCCTGCGGCCTTCAAGGAACTGAATTTTGCACTATTCTGCCATACTGAGCTAAATTTATTCTCGTAACAGTGTCCTTATCTTTCTGATATTGTCACTCCCAGATAATCTTCAATAAGGCTTTCATGCTATCACCTGCATATCTCCGCAGGATATTCTGCCATACTGAGCTAAATTTGATTCTCGTAACATTGTCCTTATCTTTCTGATATTGTAACTCCCAGCTAATCTTCAATAAGGCTTTCATGCTATCATCTGCATATCTCGACAGGATATTCACTCCACTACCTTATCAAGATCATTGAAGCCAATGTTGAATCTACCTTGTCATCTTTGTATTGTTGAGCTAGTACTCGTAGATGGCTGGGTAAACTCTAATTTTGCCCACCACTATTGCCCTGAGGCAGAGGGACACTGCTCTGTTTGGGTGGCCTCTAATTTGGGTTGCCTTACTGAATTCTGATGATTGCATCTATGTCAGGACTGCTGTCCGCAACTTTGTTTCTCACTAATACTCATTCAAATTCCGATGGCAGCCTGAACTTAACTCCCAAAGTCCATTGAACTTGTACTAGCAATTGCTATTATATTTACATTAGAGTCTGTCCTTTAGGGCGCTGTAGAACTCAGTACTAGTTCATTAATGTCTTCCTTAAGTATTTTATTTGGTCAGATGAACAATTTTTTTTTCACCAGGGAATGTTTTAACATATAATGGAAGATATTATGTTACTAAGTAACCTTCTCCAGATGAAAAATGGGCAGTTAGTGATTAAGTTATCTGACAAGACACTGATATCTTTGTATGTCGATATAAATTGTTATGAACTTAATTTGATTTTATAAGAAGTTAACCATCTTTGTTCTTTCTCCTCATGTTTTAAAATTTCGTTAAGATGTCCTTTCAGATGCATCTCTATGGTCATTTTCGATTGTAGAGTAACTGTATGTAATTTCTCAGGTACAAATTTGCAGAATTCTGTGGTTCCAACAGATTCAGAAGGAAATCAAACAAACTCCATTGAGACAAAGAAGCTCTTTGTGACTGGTAAGTAGTATTTAAAATTCTAAACAATATCAAATTCTTATCTGTTTCATGCTTGCTTTTTATTGTTATGAACTGTCAAGCTTGTACTATTTATGAATTTTCTGCCTGTGACTGTAAAGTTTTGGGTGGCCTAGGGCAATGGATCTAATGGAGTATAATGCTTTATTGAGTTCTTACCATTTAAGTTCTCACCAATTTTAGTTTCTCAGAAATATGATGTAACATACTGTGATTTACTCTTCTATGAAAGGGTTACATGTTCGTCTATCGTAATTCATTTGTTGATTTCTTGCATCGGTAATTTTCTTTCTCCCCTCTCATCTTTTTGATAACAGAAGTGCTTTATGCTCTTTAATTCTATTCACAGGCCTCTCATTTTATACATCTGAGAAAACATTACGTGCAGCATTTGAAGGCTTTGGCGAGCTTGTTGAAGGTACATTTTCAGTTAAATAACAAAATTTTTGAAGTTTTCTATTACATGTTGATGGCGGTCCAATGCTGATGAATCACTTTTCTTTAGTTAAAATAATAATGGACAAGATTTCAAAGAGATCCAAAGGCTATGCATTTGTAGAGTACACTACAGAGAAGGCCGCAAGTGCTGCTCTGAAAGAGATGAATGGCAAGGTAAAGTTTGATTACAAGTCCTTGATCTACTTCACTCAGATCTTTATGTAGCTAAAGTTTTGGTCCATCTTGTAGATTATCAATGGCTGGATGATTGTTGTCGATGTTGCCAAGCCAACTCCGGCAAGATACGGCCAGAACCGCCCCAGACAGGCAGGCTGAGAAGAGCGAAAGAGCGAGTTCCCAACCCAAACTAAAGATTCTGTGCATTGCCACAAACTTTTTTTTTTTTTTGGTTAAATGATCACTAGATTATTAGTTACTCAAATCTTGGTATTGGGTTCTCATGGCATTTCTGGTCAGTCTGTAAATTTCCTTAGGACTTGCTCCCCAAAAACAAATGTAATTTCTGAAGGCAAATTTTTAAAAGAAATAATTGCAAATGAAAAAATTTACAATATTATGTAGCATGTATATTGGGTTTATTGGTTGTTCAACAAGACAAATGTATCACTTGACTCGATATTGTATCAGCATCATAGAATAAGTCATTCTACGTTACAGGGTGTCACGTCCCAACAACAACAGTTTTCTACAGATCAACTATGAATGAGAAATTGTAATTTGAATCCTAATTTGTTCAAAACAATTGTCAAACAAAAGCCAATAACCGTTTAATAAGAAACCAACTACTTGTATCTTTAATTTGTTTTTCAAAATAAATAATTGAATCCGAATTAAAGGGGACTTCAAAACTAAATAGCTCCAGATAAATAAAAGTTAAAAAACTTATCTGGCTGCAACTCCAAGTCCATCTGTTAATTAAGACAATCTGCGTATAAATTCATTTCTCCATTTCACTTTCTATATCAATTACTACAAGCTTCTCATTTTGGCAACTCTTCAACATTAACAATGGCTAAAACCTTCAACTTTCTCATCTTTTTCTTGACAATATCATTGTTTACAGGTTAGCATAATTAACTCAATTATTTTGATTTTTTTTATGAGAAAATGGAGTTCAATCAGTTTTCATTCTCACTTTAATTGTTGCAGGAATTCATGCAAAACAAGAGTTGCAAAACATATCGCAACCTATTGCCCACCCGAAGCTTTTTGTTTTTGGAGACTCTTATGGTGATACAGGCAACTTCAGGATAAATCGTACTACAATTTCCTGGAATGAACCATATGGAATGACTTATCCTGGAAGACCTTCCGGCCGGTTCTCCAACGGCCGTATCCTCACGGATTACGTCGGTAAGCTGGCTCTTCCTTTACTCTCTCTTGTTGCATATGCATAACCTTAATGCCAGGATATGCATCAGGGACTACACAAATATATCTGAAAATTTTTCATTTCAAAAACAAGAATATAAAAAATCTTATGATAATACTTTATATATTGATTAAATTTTTCCTTTTTGCATATATACAGTTGAATATTTTCTCTTGTTTCATTTGCATTACCTGAACACCATGATATGCATCAGGGTCAAATCTATTCAATATAGAATTTAAATACAGCTTTTTCCTGTTTATATACAGCTGAACATTTTGGCATAATATCTCCTACGCCTTTCGAAGCGAGATATTCAGTGAATAAATCAGAACTACAACATGGCATGAATTTTGCATACGGTGGCACTGGTGTTTTCGACACTTTGGTGGATCAACCAAGGATGACAGTTCAAATCGACAATCTTCAACGACAACTTGATCAAAATGTTTACACCAAACAGGACCTTGATTCCTCCATTGCTCTCATTTCTCTTGCTGGCAGTGACTATTCCACTTTCATTCTTAGTAATGATCACATCAAAGATGCCATTGTAAGTTGCTAAACAAATTAACTATATATATTCTTTACTTCACGACCATTTCTTAGTATCTGATCAATCTCTGCACATTTAATAGAGTTTGCGAAATCAGACGAGGAGTATCATTCGACAACTTTCAATCAACCTGAAGCGCCTTCAGGCCATGGGAATAAAAAAGATTTCTATTACTTCCATTGAGCCTATGGGGTGCTTGCCCAATTCAGCCACCTTTTCTTCATATCAAAATTGCACTGAAGATTTCAACACCGTCGCATTGTTTCACAACCAGATGTTGTGGAATGAAGTGCAAAAGCTAAACAACACCACCCAGGATTCATTCATTTTGCTCCTAGATCTCTATGGCGCATTCATGTCAGGATTAAAGAAAGATGGAAATCTTTTAGGTAAATTTATTACCCCAAAGCCTTCATCAGAAGACAAGTTATAATATTTTCTGACCATTGTTTTACATTGGGAAATGTGCTTTATTCCTGATGTTAAAATTTGCATCAGCAAAAAGCTGGTCGGAAAAACACATTTTATCATTATCAACTACTTATATATATGGAAAATTTGTTTTTTCCCTTTTTTCATTGAATGATGCAGGAAATTCTGAGATGAAGACGTTGTTGCAGCCATGCTGTGTGGGAATAAACGAAAGATATTTTTGCGGGAGTGTAGATAAGAACGGGAAAAAGAAATACAGAGTATGCAAAAATCCTGAAGAATCATTCTTTTGGGACGATGTCCATCCTTCACAAAATGGGTGGAAAATTGTTTATGATGCTTTGAGACCTAGCCTTGACAGACTCTGAAAATTGATGATGGAAAGATTAAGATTATTTAAGAAAATGATTCATTAATTTTTTTTTTTTAATAACAATAAATCCTCTAAGAGGAGGATTATGACTGCAGCGCGGAGTGAGAAGATTATTTGTTCAGGAAAAAGCTCAGATCAAGAAAGAATCTCGAACGTCTCTGATACATATACATCTAGTGCAGCATTTAATTGTGTACAAGTTTATGCATTTAATAAATGTTGACATAATTAACTGAATGTCTAGATTTGTAGGGAAGAGAAGATTAATTTCTATCTTGGTGGAGGTATTGATACAGGGACATTGTGAATCATGGTGTCTTTCTAGTTGTAATTTTGAATTAATGAAATTATTTTGTTTATTTTTCAAGTTGGTTTGTTTATTTATTTATTTTTCTTTTGAAATGTTCCACCCATAAGGAGTCACAAGAAATCAATTTCTTAAATCTCAACCACTAACATAATTTACATAAATGGATGCTTTGAGATGGAACTCAAAAATTTTAAGATGTTTAATTCTTGGTCTTTTTATAAGGAAAAAAAAAAATCAATAACTAAGATATTATCTAAAATCTGAGTTTATTCTAAGTGTTTTTAACATCCAAAATTTGTTTAATCTAATATTTATATTTGTCCGAATTGAGAGGGTAAAAGAGATAATTGAAAAGAGCCGAAATATACCTGAGAGATATCTTTGTGAGGGCAAAAGAGGCAAAGAGATATCTTTGAGAGCAAGATAGACAGTTGAAGAGAGTCAGAGTATGCCTAAAAGATATCTTTGAGAGAGAAGAATTATATTCAATTGAATTAAATTGTTTGTATTGAATTGATATGTATTGCTATGTGAATACACAACCTATTTATACAAAAGTACAGTAACTATGTAAGGAAACATAATATTGCCATATTATTTGTAATCTCTCTGGTTGCATTTGGATTGGGTAATATATGATAACAAGGGTAATCTTCATTTATTTTGCAAGATTCCGTTATTTGGTTTGCAACTAATGAAATATTATGGGTGTCTTTTATTACAAGTAGTGTTTATTGTTGATAATGTAGAGGGTAATCAGATATCCTCCCCAGGGGCTGGTATTAAAAGATTAGTAGGTAATCTGACTTTTATACCTATTTTGCCCTTAATTAAATACCATTTTGGACACAGTTGTCCTCAAATGTCTACTAAATAAAAATTAGCCCAACCCTCCTACATTGAAATTACCTAAAACACTCCAACCACAAAAAAGTTTAAAAGTTAATAAAATACCTCTAGCCACCCAAGTCCACTGCCAGCCACCAAAGCTAGTTGGTGGCGGCAGTTGCCGTAATGGCTCACGACCAACAAGATCTGGCCGGTCGTGCGTCATTAAGGCTTTTTTCGGCCAAAGATTTGGCCTTTTCGCGACCATTGATCTAGCCATGAAACATAGATCCATGGCTGGAAATGGCTTTGTCGATGCATGGTCGACCATATACGACCAGTTGTGCGTCATTTCGTCGACTGCAAGCGGCGGTCGGTAGTGGCTTGGGGTGGGTGGGGGTATTTTGCTATAAATTAAAGTTTTATATGGCTAGGGTGTTTTAGCAAAATTTCAAATGTAGGGGGTTAAAACAAATGATTCAAAAAATAATTTTATATTAATATTTAAAAATGAGGGCAATTTAGTAATCTATATAACATGCCCACTCATTTATCCTCACAACCAAACATATTACTCACCAATTTATTCGAACCAATTAAACACATTTCCTAAATATTCCCAGTAATCTTTAAGGTAATCTATCTTTCCTTTAATATAATATTCTCCTATAATAAAATATTATATAATCCAAACGCCCCCTTTAGGTAAGGAAACACAATATCACCACTCTAAGTAAGGACTTGAATATCTCATAATAATGTTTGTAATCTTCTTGGGTAAGGAAATAGAATATCAACATTCCATATTCGCATGTCAACACTCCATCTCAAGCTTGTGGTATGTATAAGTCATAAACTCTAAGCTTGTATAGTAGATGCACACGTTGTTTGCCAATAGATGTGGGATAAGTAGTACCCGAAGAGGAAGCCGAAATGGTTGGACAAATGTAGTCAGCTATCCAAATGGGAAGTCGAGTGAGACAAGAGGACCGTCGTCGAAGGATTTTTTCCAAGGAAGGAACAACAACAGTCATTGGGGGAAGATGTTATGAAGCGTTGCCTTGAATTAACTCACAACCGGAATCGTCCTGTTAACTCTCCTTCTGGCAACACTTCACAAACATCTTCCCTAATGACTCCTGTTGTTCCTTTCTTGGAGATAGTCTCTCAGCGACAGTCATCCAGTCTCACTTGACCTCCCATTTGGACAGCTGACTATGTCTGTCCAACCATTTCGGCTCCTTCCTCAAGTACTACTTATCCCATATCTAATGGTAGACACCATTCGCATTTGCTACGCAAGCTTAGAGTTTATGACATATACAAACCACGAGCTTGAGGGGGGTTCTTGACATGCGAATATAGAATGTTGATATTTTATTTCCTTACCTAGGAAGATTACAAACATTATTATGAGATATTCCATTTCCTTACTTAAAGTAGTGATATTGTGTTTCACCTTGTTTGGTTATCTAACGTGAGTGCCTATGTGTCTTGTAGGCTAAAGCAAAACTTAAGGATAAAGTGGGTTGATTAGCGGAAGCTTCATTAAGACGATGAGAGCTTTGAAACCACTTGTTAAAACTCAATAACCCAGGACAATATGCACCAGGAAAATTCCCAGAAAACACGGGAGGGGTCCAAACATCCACTAAAACCTAGTCTCCTTAGATATTTATTGTCTTGTTACAAAATTTTCTAGACATGCATATATCCATATAAAGCTACTCTTGTCCTAACCTGAGCTCTGATACTCTATCAGAATTGAGAGGCCAAAAAAGGCAATTGAAGAGAGCCAGATATGCCCGAAAGATATATTTGAGAGAGCAAGAGAGACAATTGAGAGAGCCGGAGTATACCCGAGATATTTTTGAGAGAGAAGAATGTATTCAATTTAATTGAATTGTTTGTATTAAGTTGTTGTTATTGTTATATGAATACACAACTATATTATTAAAAACATATAGGGAAACTAATATTGTCATAATATCTAAATCTCTCTAAGTAAGGAAACAATAGGATAAAAATTGGCTCACAACACAACTTACAAACTTTCTCTCACAACCTCGATATGACAACTTAATTGGTCAGCTAGTATTTGGCAGGCAGAACCTATTTGCGAGCTGATCAATTGCTACCGTCACGTCGGGGTTATAGAGAAATTTTTTGGGATTGGGTTGTAAGTGTATTAGTGTCCAGCACAATATCACCACTCTAATAAGGATAGAATATATCATAATAATATTGTAATCTTCCTAGATAAGGAAATAAATTCTTTTCCATATTCGCATATCAACAATATTAGAGGGTGTTTGTTTGAGCTTATAAGCTCTAAAATTAGTTGACTTGTTTGTTTGTACTTTTTTTTTGGCTTATAAGCCAAAAAAAAAAAAAAAAAAAAAAAAGTTGTCTAATTTGACCAGTATATTACTATTTTTTCCTTATTTAATTTTAAAATTTATCGTATAATTTATTAATTGATAAAATAAAATAATTCTTTTTAGTCATTTAATAATAAAATGTCTTATAAGCCATTTTACCAAACGCGTCAACTACTTATCAATAACTTATAAGTATTTAATCAACCGTAACTGCTTAAATTTTAAATGCTTATAACTCAAATTAGCTTATAAGCACTAGCTACTTATAAGCTATTTTCATAACTCAACGAAAAGACCTTAATTAACTATTTTCGGACTTCAAAATGATGAAAAACAAGAAAATTACTATTTCTCAATGTCAAATTACTTATTTTTTTTAAAAATATTTCTATATTTACATTTCTTATTTTCAAAACAAGATTTAAGTTGTAATTGAATTCTAAATGATCGAAGCATGTTAATCCCAAAATGGACAAGACAAAAATAGATGGGCAAGACCGAAAATCAAAACAAATACGAACTAGGTCAAGCCAAACTCAAACGTTGTGACAAAAATTCAAATGTAACTACGTGAAGAAATTTCAACTGAAACCTTTAACTTTGACATATTAGAAATTCCATTAATTTACTACTTTCTTAAAAGCTTAAACTATTCTAATTAAGTAGGTCGGATAACTTCATATTCAATAAATAATTTCTTGAAAATGCATAAACAACAGTACCAATTAAACATTTTTCGTTTTAGCTGGCAATTAGCGTTGATTAGGTCACTCCAAACATAAATTTATATCATTTACGAAACCTCGTTTAAATCAGTCACAGGTTCGAGTAATGAGAGCAATGCATTTTGATATAAATGCACTATACATTATTGTATTTCTCTAAACATTAATTCATAACATTTCCTTCCATTACTTTCCAATCTGCTCTTCAATGGAAAAGCGAACACACTTCCTCTTCTTAGTTCTCTTTTTATTGTTAACTGCAATAATCTTCACTGGTCTCGACATTGAATCACTTTTCTATAATAATTAAGTTTGTTGCACTTTGAATATGAATTTAATGCATTTGTGTTCTGCTCATTTTCTATTATACAGCGGTTCTTGCAAAGAAAGGAAGGAATGGACATCATCATCATCATCACCATCACCCTGGTTCTGTAAAGCTTTTTGTTTTCGGAGACTCGTACGCCGATACTGGAAATTGGGGGAAATCTGCAGCTTCCTGGAATGAACCATATGGGCTGACTTACCCTGGAAAACCAGCCGGCCGATTTTCCGATGGACGTGTCTTGACTGATTTTCTAGGTCTGTGCTCTCTTTATCTCTTTATGTAATATTCTCAGAAGCTTTCAATCCCTCCATTTTTAATGCCAAAACTTTTCTTTGGTTTTTCATTGAAAATTCTCAATGGTGGATCTAAAATATTAAGACCAAGTAAAACAGCTCCAATAACGTTGTTTATGTGTCAGCATCA